AAAGTGGTACAATGGGTGAAAAGGTTGAAAAGCCCTAGTCTTGAGAATGTATGAAAGCTGGAAACTGAGATTACATAAAAATCCTATAAGGTTTGGTGATCTTGTACTACTTCAGCCATGCATAGGAGAGACAATGTGCATATCTGAAATAATCTATTTTGTAAAATTAGACCATGGCTGTTTGTAAAAGAAAAGCTCAGCTTTCCCCAGCATGTTCTGTTTGGTTAAACTAAAATGTTTGTCCTGAAGATACTTTAGGATTTTTAGTATTTTATAATGTATTTTATTTAACTATTTAATAGATAGTTTATTAATTGATTAGTCCCTATGGCTATATAAAAAAATAACAGAATCTAATTCCAGGGTAAATCGATAAAAGAAAATACAGTAATAAAATGCATATGTGATAAATGCAAAGAATCAATACATTACCTTTACAGGATACCCCAGTCTGTTGATATAATAACAGGTTCTTAGCTCAATTGCCTTAATTGCAAATTTAGCAGTCCTATTCACAATGTGTACTTCAGAGTCTGGGAGATTATTTGGTAATAGAAAGTCTTAATATAGTGAGGAATAAATGTCAGCTTATTTTTTAATTATGTTCTCACTATGCACAATTACTCTGAATACTTTCTTAGAAGATGATATATCAATATTTATTAGAACAAGATTTGTTAGAACAACAGGTAAAAGAAACAATGTTAATCTGGAGTAAAAATTTTGGTTAAGTGTTGACCTAGATAATTGGCAATCATTATGGGATAGAAACAGGAGGTTAACACTAGTCACCTCCTACAAAGAAAATTTATACAAGATGTTTTATAGATGGCACCTTCCCCCTACAAGGCTAGCAAAAATAGATAAAAAAAACCTCACCAACATGCTGGAAATGTAGAAGGCTTCCAGGGACTTATTATCACATGTGGTGGGAATGTTCAAAGGTGCAAAATTTTTGGAATCGGATAAAAAATTGGCTAGAAGAAATACTATTACAAAAAATTGATTTAAAACCAGAAATCTTCTTATTAGGGATTATTAATGATAAACTTAGCAAAGCATCTTTCTACTTACTATTGCATATTTTAACCGCAGCAAGATTGGCATACGCCCAAAAATGGAAAGGAAAGGAAACCCCCACTGAGGAAGAAATAATAAATAAAATTTTATCCTGTGCCGAAATGGACAGGTTAACTCTAGAGATGAAAAATAAAACTGAAACAGAGTATTATGAAATTTGGAAAAATTTGTATGATTGGTTAGAAATAAAGAGGATCGCTGAGTTGATTATCGATTGATTAGTTGATATTATAAGGACTTCTTATTAGTACCTATATTAGGACACAACTGAATGGTATGTAAATACGTTGATTAAAAGATGGTTTATCAAAAAATTTACAGATGTTATACGCAGTTTGTTATACTCTGTCCTGTTATAGAATTTATTTTAAGTTTCTGTTTTTCTTTCTGTAACATAAGGTAATATTAATAGCACTGTTGAAGCCAGAGAAGTTGAATCATGTCCATTTTTGTTTTTTTTTATATTTAATAAAATTTGTAAAAAAAAAACTTTCTTAGAAGATGAGAGAAAGAATATGATAAACCATAGGCCATGTCTGCAGCAGAAACTCATATGTTTTATTGGTGGAGAGCTAAATAAAGACGTAAAAGGACTCATTCTAAAATCCCATTTTATTAGCATGAAAATAACTCACAGCGTTTCCTTTCTTGAAAAAAAATCATATAATGCTTGAAAAATCCAAGGGTCCTTAAAGCAAAAGGATTTTTTTTTTCCAGTGAAAAGAAGGACCTTCTCTATAGGTTGAACTTTTTTTCTCTCTGAAGATGTGTTTCTCTTGCATTTAGGGGAAGATTACTATGAGTTCTAAGGATGGCTGCAACTCAACAAAATAATTTTCTATAGGCTTGAAGGTTTCTAGGCACCTTCAATGGAAATGTCAGATCTTCTCAGATGGGATTTCGCTCGGGCCAGTGGACGCTTCTCTTCCTTCTCCCCTTGAGTGTCTGCTTCAGCAGGCCCCAAGAAGAAAGAGGTACGGCTTGGTCAATGGTGGCCACACGGGTTGCTGGAAAACATGCGTGCGGTCAGTTCCTTGCGCATCAACTCATTCACTTCATACTGAAGGTCTTTGGAACTGAAGAAGCAGAGATTCCGGCCAACTTTTGTCCTTTTAGCTTTGGAGGAGGCCCGTCGGCTGGCACCGCTCCTGGTGGAGGAAGCTGCCTTCCCGCTGCCCTTCACGGGCAAGCGAGCTTTCCTTTGGTGACATACTTGAGACATCTTAGGCGCAGGCAAACCGGACGCCTGTCCCGTCTCCTTCCTCTTATTCCCCGACCTCAGAGTTGATGTTTTGAGGTCCCGTTTGCTTTGTCTCAGCTCTGGTTTCTTCTCCTTGGGTTGTATTATCTTGCATGGGGTCTTTCCTCCTGGAAGCTGCTGTGCTTTCTTCTGAGGCTGAGACTTCTTCTTTCCCTTTTGGGCAGCAGCCATTTTCCTTTTGTTTCTCGCTGCCAGCTCTGGGGCTTAGGGACAACGGCGTCTGTCCTCTTGCCACCTCTGGGAATTGTATTCGGTGAAGGACAGGTTTGACTGGCTGGCTGGACAAATGCAACTGCCTTGTGACATGGCACCTGGAGAACTTCATAATCTGTATCTATGAGGCATCCATCCTTCCCGACCATATGCAAATACAAGCAATTATGACATCAAATCCTTTGTTGGCCAACTGGAAGGATGACTAAAGCCAAAGAGTAATACAGTGGTTATTGGCGTCTCTGGGTTTGAAAAGTACCCAATAAAGTAATAAAGTCAGGGTTAAAACCTAATAAACAAACAACTCCCACAATTAATTAGCATCATTTTGATTAAATGTAGCATGTCTGGCTGAGGAATTCTGGGAGTTGAAATCCACAAGTCATAAAAGGGCCAAATTTGAAGAGCCCTACTCTAGAAGGAACATTGAGATGAACTACATCAGGGGTCCCCAACCTTGGCATCTTTAAGACCTGTGGAATTCTGGGAGTTGAAGTCCACAGGTCTTAAAGTTGCCAAGGTTGGGACCCCTGAATGACATGATATGGCAGAAGGTTGTCTGGTTTTGATGCAGTAGGGAATCTGAGGAAAAAAAGAATAATATTTAAGGAAGTATAAGAAATATATTTTGCTCAGTTGATTCCATGAGCTTTCTAGATACTTAGGAAAGAGCCACAGTGATTTTCATGACTGCAGCTATTGGCCCACTGACAAAATTAAACTCTTGCAAACTTATGCCATAGAAAACTGTTGAGTGATTCCCAGAAAAGTGGAAGGGATATGAAGGAGAAAGAAACTAGATTTATGGATTCCTGCACTGTTATTCCTTGTACTGCCATTTCATCTAGTGCTTTCCAATCCTGGGCACATCATTCAAAAGTGTTTTTTTCTTTGGGTAACAATACACAAATACCTTACTCAGAAAAGAGGGACATTTAAGTTGACTTAAAGATCGCCATGCGTGTTAAAATTTTTTCCAAAATCTCCCAAAGTATTCCCATTAGGACAAAAATTGATGAAATTACCAATAGAAATTTGTTGAAATGACATAAAAGATCATTCAATGGTATTGCTTCATAATACTCCAGATAATAATCCTTGAGTTACGTCTACTCATTCAACAATCCTTCAAAGCTACAACAGGGCTTTTGATAAGACTTTTGATAAGTGGTTTTGGATAATGAAGAAAAAAGTTTGCAAGGCAACTGAGTCAGGCATCCTTAAAAAGTAGCAGCATCTTTCTTGACTGTAGCTTTTGATGAAGTTAATCATTGCCAAGTAATCCTGCATAATCAGTCAGGATGGATTTACTTGCATATCCCAAAGAATTTGATGCCAACAAAAAGTAGGAATGGGTCATCACTGTGGTTGGATTTGATTCTACAGTCACCATGAATAGGATAAACTGCAAGATGGCAATCTAATGGAGCAATAAAATTGGACCGGGTGGAAATAAGCCAGCAATTTAGAAATGGTTCTTTTGACAGTTCTCTTTTGCTTCTCTGTTGAGACAACCAGGCCTCCTGCTGGTAAAATAACAAACTTACTAAAGCAGTAATAATAAATAGTCTGGGCTATCAGATCTGGGCTATAACATTCCAGGTGTCCAATAGCTGGCAGCAAAAACATACAGGAAAAATTAAATAGTCCTGTAAATTTCTGAAGCCAGAAATCAAAACTGACTTGAAGGATCATATGTATACACCTAGATTATACAATTATAATTATATACACCAGTGATGGCGAACCTTTTAGAGACCGAGTGCCCAAAAACTGGCCCCGTCCCTGCCCCACCCTCTACCCCGCCCCCACCCCCCCTGCCCGCAAGGCCACTCATCGCCTCCAGGACCCGCCGCAGATCGCTCAGGCATCCCAGCAGAGCCATGGCAGCCACACCCTCTGCCCGCGCACTGCAGCATCAACTGTCCGCGATGGGGCGTGATTCTCCTCCAGGAGGGCTGCTGGTGAGGAGGGGGTCGCGGGGGGAGACAAGGCTGGGGCAATGGCATGTGTGCCTACAGAGAGGGCTCCAAGTGCCGCCTTTGGCACCCGTGCCATAGGTTTGCCAACACTGATATACACTAAGTTTTCTTTCTTTCATAAAATAAGGTCATGTGACCATGGAACATTGCAAGCAACTGAAACTGTGGCTCGACTTGCGCACCTAGTGTGGTCATGTGACCACAGGAGAAGGGGCAGCAAACACCAGAATTTTAAATCCAGGTCATAAGCACCCCTTAGGTAGGTCCATCAGAACTTCAAACTGTCGCTTAAGTCAAGGAGTACCTGTATTAGGGCAACTCTCCAACTATGGCTTGGCTTTATAACTAGCTGGAGTGAACTGTCCATGGTCCTGAACTACTTTGCTCCTCAACAAAGGATCTCCATGCACTCCCAACTTGGGGAGGACCGGCCCTTTTTCTTGAAAGAAACTAACAGTAAAAAGTTTTAAAAACATAAAATATTTTAATAGGGTACCAAACAATATTATACTCCAAGTCACGTGAAACAATCTGAGCTGTGTAGTCAAAGGGGGCAAAAAAATGTTACCCATTTGATCATCCCTGCTAATGGAAAAGAATTTATCCCTAGGGGAAAAATACAATGCCCGTTTTCCCTCTATTAGAAAATTAGAACAACGAGCCATGGCATATTTCAGACATTCCTATCCTTGTCCAAATAATCTATATCAGTGTTTCTCAACCTTGACAATTTTAAGGCATGTGGACTTCAACTCCCAGAATTCCACAGCGCTGGCTGTGGAATTCTGGGAGTTGAAGTCCACATGCCTTAAAATTGTCAAGGTTGAGAAATACTGATCTATATCAACCATCTGTTAAGTAATACATTCATGTCGAAAACAGGTTTCCCCGCAGATGCCACCATGATGGCTCTAATAATATTTTCTCAGCCTCCATCATTATGTGAATTTCTTGTGACTTCTTCCCTTGGACGGTCAGGCTCGTGCATTTTGCTCTCAATGTGGAGGTATTTCTGGGAGAGTTCGAAATACATTCTCCTGGGCTGAGATTTTACAATAATGTGCTGACCGTCCAAGAAATCTGGCTACGTTGTGGGCAAAGAATGCATTTTGTAGAAAGAACATTGATTTCTTGTTAGAATTCACATTTCCATTAGAAATAAAGGATCCTAGGTAAAAAACAAAAAACACATCTCTTCCATGGAGACTCCATGACTGCTTATGTTAGTTAGTCCATTGATGCTTCTGAAATTGGGGCTGGTGCCACCGAATCCTGTGTGATAAAATCCAGGATCAATTCGCAACACGGAAGGTGATGGTGCCTAAACTCTCGTAAACCTTTCAGCATGTGCCCTCAAGCTCAGCATCTTTTGCTTTGGAGTTAATTCTGCTATCTGGAACAAAGTAAATCCACTAATTCTCCTAAGTCAGTTGAGCATTCTGGTGTTCAGCCATTTTCTGAAAAGTGGCAAACATCTGTTCTGTGTGCTCCAACTCCGAACGAAGCAAAGAAATCTGGGGGGAAAAAGAGAGTGTTAAGTAAATAGGTGGGCCACGCCTTGCCTATTTTCATGGCGATGGCTTTCTTTTGAGCCCTATGACATGCTCTCAAAACGTCAACTGGCCCAGTGGAACCGCACAATCAGGAATCTCTTGGTACCTTTTGCTCATGATTCAATTTGGCTTTTAAGGAGTTTTGCTTCTGAAGTTTTTCTGTGAGGTTTGCCAGCCGTTGCTTTAATTTCTGTTGCCGAGATGTCAGTTTGAGGAGTTCTTTGTGAGGATCCACCAAATCCTAGCATGAGGGAAGAATCAGAAAAAAATTGGTTGAATGGAAGATGTAACCCACCTTCTAAACACCCAACTCTCTGTCTATGGTCCTTCAGTTATCATTAACTCATCTCTCTCTCTCTCTCTCTCTCTCTCTCTCTCTCTCTCTCTCTCTCTCTCTCACATCTATCTATCTATCTATCTATCTATCTATCTATCTATCTATCTATCTATGTCTATTTATCAATCTATCAATCTATCTATCTATCTATCTATCTCTATTTATCAATCTATCAATCTATCAATCTATCTATCTATCTATCTATCTATCATCTATCTCTCTATGTCTATTTATCAATCAATCTATCTATCTATCTATCTATCATCTAATCTATCATCTAATCTATCAACTCTATCTATCTATCATCTATCTCTCAATCTATCTCTCTATGTCTATCTGTCTCTCAATCTATCTCTCTATGTCTGTCTGTCTGTCTGTCTGTCTCTCTCTCTCTATCATCTATCTATGGGGCATTGGCCTATACATGTTCCCTGAAAAGAGGCCATAAATTTTCCACAGTACTTTCAATCACCTCCTTTCTTTGATTCCCTATGAATCTTGAAGCCGGTAGTACCCTAAATTGTAACCCACCTGCAGATCCATGTAAAGGCTAGTGTGACCATTGACCTTCACAGCCAGGCAGTTCAGAGGTAGCTCTATTTCCTCAGAATTGGGGAGAAGATGCACAGATCCAGCCAAAGACAATGTCTGTAGTGGCTCCTGATATTTCTCATAGGTAGCCCAGGGGGCTGTTTCTGAGCAAGCCAGATACACTGGGGGACAAGTAGGGAAAAGAAATAATATATATGTGCCACCTTCAAGAAGTCAAGACCTCAGAGATACTTGAAGTGATAATTTGTTGATGTAAAACAATATCTGATTATGGTAATTCTAAATTGATAAAGCTTTAAAACAGGTTGAGTAGTAACAGAAATTTAAGCTAGAAATGGAATATATTAAATCTATTACGTTATTTGTGAGAAATAGAGAGATGATAGTGAATGTATTAAGTTGAGCTGTTTATGTATGTTTTTTACCTTGAAATGTTTGTTTACCCAAACACCACGGTGTGTCTTAAGTATTTTTTGTTAAAATTAAAAAACCAATAAAATATATTTAAAAAAAAAGAAGTCAAGACCTCAAGAGAACAAGAAACCAACATGCTTTTGATTGGGAACCTTGTTATTACTCTCACTTGGATATATTTTATAAAGTCTATAAATAAATGTCTAAGAAATCTTGCAAAGAGAAACCTTCCTCGTCAGCTAAACCTAAGTCTTGATATTCTGCCTACCTTTGCGACGAACCCAGGGATACCTCAAGAGATGTGGTGAGTTTTATTCCAGATCATTGCAAAAAAGCAAATACCACAAGAAAGCGAGTCACATGAATTTTTTTGGTTTCCCAGGGCATATAAGTTATGTTTACACCATACTGCATTAATTAAGTGAAGAATAACATTACAGATAATCCTCAACTTACAGCTGATCACTTGGCACTTGGAACCCCTCCCCCCACAGTTGTGCCCCAACTTTGGGTGCTTGGCAACCAGACAGCATTTATGGGCATTTGCAGCATCCAGTGGTCACATGACCATGTTTTATGTCACTTTGGCCGAGAACCAGAATTTACTTCTGGTTTTCAGCAAAACCGTACTCAGAGTGAACCACAGGTTTGACTTGCAACCGTGACGGGCAGGTTCCATTATAGCCATTAAGTCAATGACTATCTCTCTGTTTCACAAAAACCATCATTACATGGTTTCATTAAAAATACTTTATTGATAAAAATGTTAATCATCATTTGAGCTTTGACGAATGGTTCCCTTTTTTGCCAGTGGAAAGCCTTGTAAAACAATTGCAGTATCTGTGAAGCACCATCAAGAAAAGTGACTGAAACAAAATATATGTCTGTATCCATTTGAATATCTGTTGGACTGAAGTGGCTTTAAAGTATCTGTTGAAAATGCAGAATAGACAGAATGGAGCACATCTGCTGGTGCCGGTGCTACAATCCATAGGCCTATGGGTACATCCTATGCATTCTTTAAGATTATGTGCTACCCACAAAGTACAGGTCATCCCCGAGTTACGAGCGTTCACTTAACGCTCGTTCAAAGTTACACGATGAGCGCCCCCTAGTGCTTACAAGCAAGTCCCGAAGTTAGAAATATTGCAGCACCACAGCAGTCGTTCACCCTTACGAGCGACCGCAGTGGCTCTGCAACATTCACCCTGGTTAGTCCCTCCCTCCCCACCCCCAGTCTCCCTAGGCACCAGGCCTTCAATACTCATCCTGCGAAGATCAAGATCCTTTGCTTTCTTGGCTGCTCCAGGCCTTCGGTGCGTTCGCAGAGAATGGAGGCCTAAAGTAACGCAGGATCACGCAAGATCAGTGGGGCGAGATCTCACGCATGATCTCATGGTACTTTAGGCCTCTGTTCTCGGCAACAGAGAACAGAACCGAAGCTGGGGGACGCTTCCACGTGCCTCCAGAGGCTGGATCGGGGCTCCAGAGGCTTTTCCAGGCCGCTGCACTTGGATCGGGGATGTCAGAATCCAATCATATTTCATCTTTAATTATCAAATATAGAAACTCCCAATTCTGCCTTCTTTGGATTCTGCCATAAGAGGGAGAGAAGGGGGAGAACAAAGGGGCTTTATGGCCCTCACTTCCTTCAGTACACTTCAAAGAGCTGAATGCTGAATGTGTGTTTATTGTAACATCAAAGCGTTAGCACTAGAGGACCTTATCATAACAAAGCAGGGTATTTGCCTTTCATGTAGTTACCTGAAGTCTCCATTCAGACGGAAGAAAGAAGAAAGGGGGTGGAATTGTGATACTTGAAACTATCACTGGAAGGGGGGTTGATTGGGTGGGACTACTGGGGAACCCCTTAAAACCTTGAATGGGAGAGCTTGGACCCCAAGTCCTGTCTAGCATGCCTGCAACCATTTTCTCTTAATAAAGGATTCCTGTTGGAAGAATTATTCCAAGAGTTCTGTCTTCTTAAGATGCAAAGTGGGGTGGGTCCTTACATTAGACAGGACTTGCAAAATTAATCCACCTGGAAGGGAGACCCTTGCCGGGGGATTTTGCAAAAATTTACCATGTCAGACAATGGAGCAAGAGAGGGGGAAACTCCCTGGAAAGAGAGCCGCTGACCCAGTTGGAACCTTGCCAGATGTTGGGATCCGAGAGGCCAGATTCCTCAGGAGAAGAAGTGGTGGAGACACAGGACCACAAGCCTCGCTGGTCGATGGGCGTTGGAAAGAAAAGTGAGTGGGGAAAGGAATCAAGAAAGGTGACCCTGAGACGGGGGACCAAGCAACCAGAATGGAAGCAGGAGATGGAGAAATCCCTGCACGCAAGTGAAAAGGGAGGAAGCTGGGCACCGCACTCAGACTGGATCCTAGAGAAAGCCATTGACCTGATGAAGAGAACTCTCAGCTCCCTAGGAGAGGAGAATACTGAGCCCTACGGCCGCCCCAGTTCCTGGAGCCGCAAAGGGAGAGACACCGAGGGGGACATGGAACCTGCAACCCCAGGGACATCTACTGATCCAGGAGCCCCCACCCCCTACCGGACCACAGATGGCAATCTGGACGGAAGGCACTACCACCCACAACAGAGGCACCGATCCATTCCAAGACGTCCACCGTTGGAAGTGAAATTCAAAGGGGAGCCAACACGCTTGGGATTTTTCCTAACCCAAGTCCTCAGCTACATGGAGGAATATGGGCAGGATATTCCCAGCGACAAAGCCCGCATCCGGATCGTGCAATCTGCCCTGGATGGACCAGCTGCGGATTGGGTAGTGAACTTGCATGACTCCAATGCCCCAGAACTCAGTAACTTCAACCGTTTCATGTCCTCTTTGAGAAGACGATTTGAAGACCCCCTGGCTGATCGCAAAGCCCGTGAAAGAATAACAACGATGAGGCAGGGCAAACGCCCAGTGGCTGAGTATACACAAGAATTCCGGGCCATTGCCAGCAAACTGAATTGGCCAGAAGACATCCTCCTTGGCCATTTCAAAGACGGACTAAACTATGATCTATATGATACTTGCCTGCCCCGAGGGGACCCACATCGACTTGAGGAATGGTACGTCTTGGCAGAGGAAGCAGAGATCGACATATTGAAGAGGCACCGCCGAGGAAAACAATGGAGCCGCCCCCCGCCTGAGCTGACACACCAACCGGTGAAATCATCGGATACAGCCAAGAAGCAAATGGGATGTTTCAAGTGCGGAAGAGAAGGGCATCGAGCTGTAGAATGCCGCTCAAAGGCCCCCCAGCACAACCCAGACAGATCCCCAATCAACAAACCCGGAAAGTATTCAGCTAAGCCAAAAGAAACGGCCATGAGAATGATGGAAATTGCAGAAACCCCCACCTCTGCTCACCAAGGGGAAAGGACTCCAGCCTACACCACAGGGCCGGTGGATGCCTCAGATGACAGCTCGGAGGGCGAACCCCTGGTAAGTGGATGCATCACACCCATCTTCAAAACAGTGACTATATTAATCCCCCCCATGCCCGAAGCTGTGAAGGTGAAAGCCTTAATAGACTCTGGCTGCACCCGCTGCCTCATTAGCCCAACACTAGTGGGGAATCTGGGCATCCCATCCAGGAGACTGGAACAACCAATCTCATTTGGCCAGCTAGATGGATCCATAGCAGGGGGGGTGCCAGCTACCCTAGCCACTTTGCCAATACATCTCTCCCTGGGCAACCATGAAGAGGACTTAACGTTTGTGGTGACCCCAGGTATGGAATGCCCAATGATTCTAGGGATGGAATGGTTGAAAAAATGGAACCCCTGGGTAAATTGGAGGACGACAGAAATCAAATTCCCGAAGGGGGACCCTATGGACTTAAAACCCCAAGGGAGGCTACCAGAATCAAGAATAGAAAAAGCATCCATAGGAGAGGAAAAAAGATTAACAGAAATACCAGAGGAATATAGGGACCTTGCTGAAGTCTTCAGTGAGGAGAGGGCGAATGAGCTTCCCCCCCACCGACCCACAGACTGTACCATTGAATTCAAGCCTGGGGCAAAACTCCCGAAGCCCAGATTATACTCCATGAGCCCAAAGGAGAAGGAGGAAATGGAAAGATTTATAAAAAAAACCTGGAGAGAGGTTTCATTGAGCCAGCCAAGCCTAAAGTGGCTGCCCCGGTCCTTTTTAGAGAGAAGAAGGATGGCTCTTTACGTTTATGCGTGGATTATAGGGCCCTGAATACAATCAGTGAAAGCAACCTATACCCGCTGCCCCTCATGAAAGACATGCTGTCACACCTATCGAAAGGGAAAATTTTTTCTAAACTAGACTTAAGGGAAGCTTACTATCGCGTGAGAATCAAGGAAGGGGACGAATGGAAGACTGCATTTAACTGCCCCATGGGGTGCTATCAATTCAAAGTCTTGCCATTTGGATTACAAGGGGGCCCTGCAGTCTTTATGCAATTAATCAATGACGTTCTAAGGGAGCACCTGTTTAAGGGGGTCCTTGTTTACTTGGACGACATTCTTATCTTTACTGAAACAAAAGAAGAACACGTCAAACTTGTCAGAGCGGTTTTAAAGAAGCTGCGAGCCGCTCACCTATATGCCAAACTCTCAAAATGCGAATTCCACCAGGAAAGGATAGACTACCTAGGCTATCGCATATCCCCACAGGGCATTGAAATGGACCCAGAGAAGGTCAAAGCAGTACTAAATTGGGCACCACCCCGCACAAGAAAGCAACTACAAAGTTTCCTGGGCTTTGCAAATTTTTACCGCCAATTCATCCCCTCATTTGCACAGATAGCCTTGCCCCTCACTAACTTACTAAAAACGAAGGGAACATCCTCAGTAAAACCTAGCCAGCCACTAACATGGACAATGGAGTGCCAAGCAGCGTTTGAGAGACTAAAGAGACTTTTTTCTGCCGAACCAGTACTAAGGCACCCAGACATGGACAAGCCCTTCGTAATACAGGCAGATGCAAGTGATGTGGCAGTGGGGGCTGTGCTATTACAAGAAAATGATGATGCAGTATTGCAACCCTGTGCATATACATCCAAGAAACTCACGGAAACAGAACAGCGCTGGCCCGTATGGGAGAAGGAGGCTTATGGGATACGTTGGGCATTACTCACGTGGCGACAGTTCCTGGAAGGCAACAAAATCCCCTTCCAGGTGTGGACTGATCACAAAAATTTAGAAGCCCTGAAAACTTCCAGGAAACTCAATCCCAAACAAGCCCGCTGGTCCCAGCATTTTCACCAATTCCAATTTAAGCTCAAACATTTACCAGGAAGAAAGAACTTCCTGGCAGATGCACTATCTCGCATGCCCCAATATAACAGCGCACGAACCACAGACTCTAGACCAATAATGGCAGAGTCACAACTGGCAGCACCAGTAACCACAAGAACCCAAGCCAAAATAAAACCACAACTGGACAGCCAAACTGGGATTGAATTCAGAAAAAGTTTGGAAACAGATGAATGGTTCCAGAAAAACAAAAATGTGTGCACAATGAGAGACGGGTTGCCTTGGGTAGGGGAAAAGTTATATATACCAACAACTCAAAGAGTAACTTTCATGCACCTTTGCCATGACACAAAATCAGCAGGGCATTTTGGATTTGTAAAAACTTTACATTTAATTAAACGGCAATTTTGGTGGCCATCCATGAAAAAGGACATTGAAAGTTATATAGCCAGTTGTCCAAAATGTGCCACGGCAAAGAGGTTGCAAGGGAAAGTGCCAGGACTATTGCAAACAGTGGCAAGTCCCTCAGCCCCCTGGAGAGAAATAGCCATGGATTTTATAGTGGAATTGCCAGAAAGCAATGGGAATACTGTGGTCTGGACGGTCACGGACTTGTTTTCCAAACAGGTGCACTTTATCCCTTGCCAAAAGATTCCCACTGCAAAAGCCTTAGCAAAACTTTTCATCCAACACATTTACAGATTGCATGGGGCACCCCAACGCATCATCTCTGACAGGGGGGTGCAATTTACGTCTGCATTTTGGAAGGAATTTTTATCCCTCTTAGGAACCACTCAGGGACTGACATCTAGCCACCACCCTCAAGGAAATGGGGGGGCTGAAAAAATGAACTCCGTACTTAAGCAATATTTAAGATGTTTTCTTAGTTTCCAGCAGACCGAGTGGGCGGACTTACTCCCTTTTGCAGAAGTTGCCTACAATAATGCAGTCCACTCCAGCACAGGTTACACTCCTTTTCAAATAGCCACCGGTCAAAGTTTCAACCCCATGCCAGAATTAACCCCAAACGAACCAACGATCCCCTCGCTGAAAGAATGGATGGAGAAATTACAAAACACCTGGCCAATAGTCAGAAAAGCACTAGATGAAGCTAGGCAGGCATATAAAACACAAGCCGATAAAAAAAGGGTTGAGCCTACACCATTCATTATAGGAGAAATGGTGTACTTATCTACAAAATACCTAAAGTCCCTACAGCCCTGTAAAAAACTTGGACCAAAATATATAGGACCTTTTCCAATTAAAAGAATCATAAATCCAGTAACAGTAGAATTAGAATTACCCAAAAATCTCAGGCAAATACACCCAATTTTTCATTGCAGCTTGCTGAAAAGAGAGCATCAGTCACCTCTACGGCCAAAAATCCCCCCCCCCCACCTCCAATCATGGTGGAGGGTGAACAACACTTCGAAATAAAGGAAGTCCTTGACTCTAGGAGATATCATGGAGCAACTCAGTACCTAGTTGCCTGGAAACACCTCCCTCCCTCACAAAATGAGTGGGTCCATAAACGTCATGTCAGAGCCCCGAAGCTATTGAAGAAGTTTCACACAGAGTATCCTAACAAGCCTAACTAAATTTTATACTTGTGTTTTCTTTCAGGTGGATCTCTCTTATTTTTAAGAGGGGCCGGATGTCAGAATCCAATCATATTTCATCTTTAATTATCAAATATAGAAACTCCCAATTCTGCCTTCTTTGGATTCTGCCATAAGAGGGAGAGAAGGGGGAGAACAAAGGGGCTTTATGGCCCTCACTTCCTTCAGTACACTTCAAAGAGCTGAATGCTGAATGTGTGTTTATTGTAACATCAAAGCGTTAGCACTAGAGGACCTTATCATAACAAAGCAGGGTATTTGCCTTTCATGTAGTTACCTGAAGTCTCCATTCAGACGGAAGAAAGAAGAAAGGGGGTGGAATTGTGATACTTGAAACTATCACTGGAAGGGGGGTTGATTGGGTGGGACTACTGGGGAACCCCTTAAATCTTGAATGGGAGAGCTTGAACCCCAAGTCCTGTCTAGCATGCCTGCAACCATTTTCTCTTAATAAAGGATTCCTGTTGGAAGAATTATTCCAAGAGTTCTGTCTTCTTAAGATGCAAAGTGGGGTGGGTCCTTACAGGGCCATGGGGGGATAGCGGAAGCATTCCCCAGCCTCAAATCTGGGTAGTAGCGGCCTGAAAAAGGCCTCTGGAACCCAGATTGGGCCATGGGGGGGGAGGCAGAAGCCTCCCCCAGCCTTAGATCCGGGCGGCAGCGGCCTGGAAAAGGCCTCTGGAGCCTGGATCGGGCCGCACAGGGTGCGTGGAAGTGTTTCCTGGCCTCAAATCTGGGCGGCAGCAGGAGACGGATCTTTTGTAGGTGAGTCTGGCACGGCAGGAAGGGAGGGGGAAGCATGTGGTATCTTAGTCGGTCGGGAAGGCCTTGGGGGTCTATTCCAGCACTAGGCCCTCCATGGCTTTCCCCACCCTGAGATACCTCATGTTCGCTTAACGAGCCGCGTGTGTTTTAACAAGCAAGGTGTCAGAATCCAATTATATTTCATCTCTAGTTATCGACTATGGAAAACCCCATTTCTGCCTCTCTGGATTCTGTCCTACGATGAAGGGGAAGGGGGGTGAACAAAGGGGTTTTATGGCCCTCACTTCCTTCAGTACAACTTCAAAAGGGACTGAATGTGGATACCACCAAAAGGACTAACCATAACAAAGGGGCCATCAGCTTTCATCTACTCCCCTCTGAAGTCTCCCTTCCACTGGCAGTGAGGAAAAAGGGGGTGGAAATGTAACGCCTGGGATTGTCGCTTGAAAGATGGTAGGGTGGGGCTGCTGGGGACCCCTTAAAACCTTGAACCGTAGGGCTTGGGCCCCAGGTCCTGTCTAGAACGCCTGCAACCCTTTTCTCTTAATAAAGGATGCCTGTTGGAAGAAATATTCCAAGAGTTCTGTCTTCTTAAGATGCAAAGTGGGTATTACCATATCTGGTGGTCATGTAAAAGTATAAAAGCTTTTTGGATTAAGGTATGGTGGAATATTCAAAGAATTTTTAAAAGAAGGATAAAATTTACTCCACAATTGTTTTTGTTGGGTATTGTTTCGGATTGTGATGACAAAGAGATCATTTTAATGTTAAATTTAATTACTGCGGCTAGGTTGTTAATAGGGCAATATTGGAAGAAGGAATCTTTGCCTACTCTGCAAGAATGGTTTTTTAAAGTCTCTTATTTAGCGGAAATGGCAAAAATTTCGGCTTTCTTGAAAGATCAATCGCAAGAGAAGTATCTCTTGGTGTGGAAAAGATGGATAAATTTTATACAATATAAGTATGATATAAGAGAATATCATCTAGCTTTTGAATAATTTATATTTAAAGTTCAAGATATTATTTAGAAGTGTAATTATTATTATTCTTTAATTTTTTATTTTTTATTTTCTTTTGCCTTTTTTTTTTCTTCTTTCCCCTTTCTGTTTTCTGTTTTTTATATATAATGGAGTTAAAGTATTTTATAATTTGTTTATTGAGTGTAATTATATTTGTTTAAGGTTTATTTGGGTTTAAAACTTTTTTTCTTTTAATTTCTAGTTAAGCCTGTATTCAGCTCTGGGAAGAATGGGGGAGGGTTTTGGGGTGGGTTGGGAGGGATCGGGGAACGGGTTTTTATTGTAAAATTTTTAAGAAAATTTTAATAATAAAAAAAAAGATGCAAAGTGGGGTGGGTCCTTACACAAGGAAGTGATCTCATACCTCGAACGAGATTCACTCTACGAGTTTTCGAGTTACGAGTGGAATGGGCAGCCTCCATCACACTCGTAACTCGTGGACTACCTGTATTATCCACGTAATACTCTGCTAGAGGGAGCTCCGTCAATCTACAAGCTTTGGTAGAAAATGGAGAGTTTAGACTCACCTGTTGGTCGAGCTTTGGTTAGCTGGTAAGTCGCCCTCGTGGAACGTATCACTTGGATAATTTCCTGCACTAACGAGAAGTTTGCCTCTTCCTCAGGATTACTCCAATGTCTCTACAAGTGGAAGAAAATCACTCTTGAAAAGGTGTCTTTTTCGTGCTGTCAAATTCTAGAACGTCATCGTAATTTATTCGAGGAAGAACTAGGTTTGCCCCAGGTAAAGGAGGTCACCAAGGGAGCTTGCCAGTTAACCTTCTCTGAAAGGTGGACTCACCAGATGTTCGGGGCTTGGGTACCTGGCCACACAGATACTAGGAGAAGTCTCCAGCTCTGTCTTGGGAAGCCGCTGCCACAGCTCCTCCGTGAGGAAAGGCATGAAGGGGGACAGGAGGCGCAGAGCCAGGTCTACGCAATTGTACAAAATCTGCCGAGTAGACAAAAGGCAAGCTGGATCTCCACTCCTCAGGGTGGGCTTGACAGAGTCCTAGGAAAAGAGAGACAACACGTTTGTGATGGAGCTCTAAAACTTACTGCATCCAGTTTTGGTCACCACGATGTAAAAAAGATGTTGAGACTCTAGAAAGAGTACAGAGAAGAGCAACAAAGATGATTAGGGGACTGGAGGCTAAAACATATAAGGAACGGTTGCTAGAATTGGGTATGTCTAGTTTAACGAAGAGAAGGACAAGGGGGGACATGATAGCAGTATTCCAATATCTCATGGGCTGCCATAAAGAAGAGGGAATTAAGCTATTTTCCAAAGCACCTGAAGGCAGGACAAGAAGCAACGGGTGGAAACTAATCAAGGAGAGAATCAACCTAGAACTAAGGAGAAACTTCCTGACAGTGAGAACAATTAATCAGTGGAACAGCTTGCCTCCAGAAGCAGTAAATGCTCCAACACTGGAAGTTTTTAAGAAGAGACTGGACAGCCATTTGTCCGAAATGGTATAGGGTTTCCTGCCTGAGCAGAGGGTTGGACTAGATGACCTCCAAGATCCCTTCCAACTTTATTACTATTATTATTACTATTACTATTATTATTATTATTATTATTATTATTATTATTATCCCGTGAAAGTTTTAGCACACACACACCTGCAACCCAATGAGCTTTGCAGGAGTTAAACTGCAACTCCTGGAACTAGTATTAGCATAGGGAAGCCTGTTTTAACATAAGGCACACCTTCTGGGCACTGTAATACAACGTGTCTGGGTCTTTCAGTAAATGCACATAAAAAGAGCCCAACATAGAACAACCTATCTACAGGTAGTCCTTGACTTACAACCTTTCATTTAGTGTGACCGTTTTTCACATCTACAACCATTTCAGCATCCCTATGATCACTTGATCAAAATTCAGATGCTTGGCAACTGGCATGTACTTATGATGGTTGCAGTGTCCCGGGGTCATGTGATCACCTTTCTGACTTTCTGATAAGCAAACTCAAGTGGGAAGCCAGATTCGTATAACAACTGTGTTACTAACTTAACAACTGCAGGGATTCGTTTAACAACTGTGGGAAGAAAGGTGGTAAAATGGGACAAAACTCACTTAACAACTGTCTCGCTTAGCGACAGAAATGTTGGGCTCGGTTGTGGTCATACGTCAAGGACTACCTGTACTCCACTCGGCCTCCAATGAGGAATCTCACCCGAAATATCACATTCCCCCAAATTCTTGGGCTCTCTGTGCATTTTCCTTCTTAACATCAACCTGCAGTCTTTCGTAGGGCAAACTAAGCTTGTCCCACCGCAAGGGGGTCTTTTGAACCCTGTGTTCTGTCCCAGCCCATGTTGAGTCCTTATTAACTCACAAACCCCTCTTTTAACAAGTAGGCTGGAAATGCAGGAAAAACAAACCTCTTTTAGTAATTAGGTACAGACCTGCAAAATGTCCCAAAAGCAAAGGCAAACAAAACACAATGCAAACGAAGAATTGTCCCAAGGCAAACAGAACACGATTCAAACGGAGAATTGTTCACAGGCAAGGCAAAGAGAATCTGATTCCATGAAACTTCAGTCCTTTGCAAATGGTTGCTTTCAGAAACTAGCACCTCCCACACCTTCCCTTTTTATTATGCAGCTCCCAGGCGTGACTTCTCAATGCCTTCTCCTCCTCCCTTGGAGTCACTCCATTGCCTCCCTCTGCCCTGCTCTTGTTGCCTGTCTGCGTTTGCGAGTGTCTATGATGTCTTCCAGTTGTGAGTCCTCAGAGTCTCTCAGCTTCCCTGCACAGCTGAGTCTCAGCCTGAGCACGATTGGAGGGGCCAGGCTCTTCATCAGATTATAAGTCCTGGAGCTCATCAGAGCCTTCCTCCGACTCTGGTGGCTCTCCAGGTCCCTCCTCCTCCTCCTCTGATTCACCGGATTCAGCTACCAGGTCCAGTGGCTGGCACGGACTCACAACACCCTGAATCAACAGTAAGCTCACCAGATAGGTGCTGCAAAAATCCTGCAGCCAGAACAGATAAACAGCATTGGCCACAGAATGCAATTTGTACTCCTCAAAGTGCTGGGCACAATATTCTGCCGTGTGATAGAGACGGCTCAAGATCCACTGTTCCATCGGAAAGCTTGGGAAGACCTGGAGGGAGGAAAGAAAGATAATTCAGAGTCACGATGATGCTTTTCAGGTATTAATGAACGTATCCTTTCTTGAAAACAGAGGAAGATAAAGTGGTTAAAAACTGATGACAGAGAAGCCATAAATACAGAGGCAAGAGAGGATCCTAGATAAGGAAGGGCCCTCTCTTTGAGACAAGTTTGAAAGTGGGACCATTACAGCTAGTCCTCAACTTACAATGGGTTGCTCACAGTTATGACAGACCATCCAAAAGTATTCATGACCTGGTTTTGAAGTTCTGACAGCTGGCCCCTTGCCCTGCACGGTCATGTGAGTGCAGTTACAGTGCCCTGTGGTCAAGTGACCATTTAAGTCTTTGCTGAAAAATGACATTTATTTAGGCTTTTCAGCGAAAACGCTTAAACCGTGGCATTCGCTAATGACCGTAGATTCACTTAATGACCTTGGTAATTCATTTAACAACCGCCGGATAAAGAGATTGCAAAATTGGGTCGTGATGATGCACTTTATGACTATCTTGATTTATGACCAGGTTTGGGCAGGTTTCATTATGGTCATAAGTCAAGGACTGTCTTGTACACACATGGAAAAAAAACGTTATGTTCCAGATTTCTATAGCGCAGCCCCTATTTGCACTGAATTACTCGCCATTGCTGTAATTGTGCTGAAGGTGGTAGATGCGAGGAATGGAATTTCTCGTATCATTCTAGATATGGTCATTTCTAAATTGTGGTTATATGGCAAATCACAGCAGAAGCACAGCTCCCACAGCTTCTGAGACAATTGCCAGGAATTAATAATTAACTTCTAGTGTAATAATCAATGTCTAGTCCAGGGGTAGGCAACCTTGGCTCTTTTATGACTCGTGGACTTCAACTCCCAGAATTCCTGAGCCAGCCACGCTGGCTCAGGAATTCTGGGACTTGAAGTCCATGAGTCATAAAAGAAGCAAGGTTGCCTACCCCTGGTCTAGTCTAATGGAAAAAAGGACTAGCAGTGACATGATAGCAGTGTTCCAACATTTGAGGGGCCACCACGAAGAAAAGGGGGTCAACGCATTCTCCAAAACACCTGAAGGCAGGACAAGAAGCAATGGATGGAAACTTATCAAGGAAAGACCAATCTAGAACTAAGGAGAAATTTCCTGACAGCGAGAATAATAAATCAGTGGAATGGTTTTACTTCACAAATTGTGGGTGCTTTATCACTGGAGACTTTTAAGAAGAGACTGGACAGCCACCTGTCTGAAATGGTATAGGGTCTCCTGCTTGTGATGGGAGATTGGACAAGAAGATCTCCAAGGTCCAACTCTGTTATTCTCTTATATGAGATGGTTATCCACCCCACCAGGGAATCCAAAGTTCAGGAGACCCACAATATTTGGGGACCTGAAGTTTATTTATCTATGCCTCTTCTTACTTCTTGACTAAAGGTAGACTGTGGGGAAAAATGCACACGCAGCAATCTGCCGTGCTTTCCCCCACACAAACCTCATAACCTTTTGACACCCTTTGTCCCAATGAAGCAGCCAGAAGGTCATCCCCTTTTGACTTAATGCCTCACCTACCTAAACAGATAATATGCTTAAGTTCCTTCGTATCTCTTCCTGTCTTTGTCAGTTCTTTCTCCTTTCGATCTACCTGTATTTGTTCTTACCTGGTCTTTGACCATGTAATGTGTTACTAGAAAATAGTTGCTTACATGAAGACATTTTCCAATGAAGAAACCTTTGTCAGCATCTAATGGTTAAGCTGGTGTATGTAACAAGTATATAAGAAGCAATAAACTCAGAGTTTGTCAAGCTGTGTCCTGCAGCTTCAAACCTTTGCTCAAGACATGCCTGTGTCTTTTTCTTAGCGTCTTACAGTAGACTACTGTACATCCAATGATTTTCAACACCACTTGGGCACCCAAGGTTAGGATTATCACCTAAATTCAATATAGGGGTCCCCAATGTCCCAACAGAGCTTTTATCCCATACAACAAAAGACAGTGCCATTTTCAAACGTCTTCTCACAATCACATCATAGCTGTCCCTCTCAGTTACCTGCTCTGGATCCAGAGGGGCAAATTCTTCTCCCAAGGCTGCCAAAGTGAACTTTAGGGCATTCCACACCTTGTTGCAGAAATGAGAGGCTTTTTCCATGGCTGCCATATTTAGATTAATACTGGTGCCTGTTGGGATATGAATGGAGTCTCAATTTTCGAGTGTACCTCTGACAGACAGTTGTCATTCATTTATACGACCAGCAGTTGTATTATGTTATAAAGTCAAGGCTAACTACAGGGTGCTTATCGATTCCCCCCATAATATTTCTCCTGACACCTCAGATTTCCTAATTCTTCTGACTTTTTCACATATCCTTTAAATCTAAATAAATAAACAGGCGGTTCTTTGCTGCAAGAAATCCAGCCTGGTGTAATAGTTAAAACAGGCTTCACAGCCTTGAAAACTTTTAAGATATATGGACTTCTACTGCAGGGAGGGAGGGAGGGATGAAGGAAGGAAGGAAGGAAGGAAGGAAGGAAGGAAGGAAGGAAGGAAGGAAGGAAGGAAGGAAGGAAGGAAGGAAGGAAGGAAGGAAGGAAGGAAGAGACACTTTAATGAATTCAATGCAAGTCTCAGTGGGAACTGACCCTTGCAATTTTCAAGGTTGTATTTTCAATCCAGGCCAGCATGAAAGAGACTTTTCTAAAATATGTATCATTCTAGCCTCCTTGGTTGGCAACTACCTGGAGCTTGACCGATGGCCAGGTCAATAATAAACTGTTAATATTGTTGTTCTTGTTAGGAGTTCTTATAGGGCCAGCAACAGATCAACATCATGAAAAAAAAATGACTGAATGAATGAATTTCTCACCGTGAGCGTCATAACGGCAGAGAGCAAACCTTAGAGCATCAGAACCACTTTCGGCAATTCCTTGAGGAAAATTTTGCAGCTGAAAAGGAACAGAGAGGGGAGGAGTGAGACCACAAGGGCCATGGGAATAAAGGGGAGTGGGGTCCAAGAAGGAAAAGGGCTTACCAGGCCTTCGGAACCAATGACAATCTCTCGTGGGCTCAAATTGCTATCCTTTAGCTTCTGCTGTAGGACCTGAAACACGAATAGAAGCGGTCAGCGACTGGCGGGAAACCCCCTCCGTGCAACCCAAACCCATTTTTACACCACACTCAACCTTCCCCAAAATTAGAGCACCCAAATTCTGGCAGCACTTTTCTCATGTTTTTCATGATATAAGCCCCCCTGCACACATATATACAAGGCCTCAGGTACTTTAAAGGTACTTTAAGATGAAGCATTCCTTATTTCCTCCTTTAAGAAGGTTTTGAATCTCCAGGCTATAATCCTACATCCTCTGATATAGAAATAAGCCCAGTTGGTGGATTTAAAAAAAAAATTCAAAGGGAAGACTAAGGAAACTCATAAATGTCCCCAAATGAAAATACCTGCAAAGAGGCCCCATGAACAACATCCAAAGGGTCAATCACATTCCCAAGAGACTTGCTCATTTTCCTGCCATGGGCATCATGGATTAAGGAGTGAAGGAACACCTGGATCAGAGGGAAAGAAGACAGGATGGAGCACATGGCTTTGGTAACCATCCTCACCTTGGACGCTGTTTTCTCAGACACAGGTTTCGTAAAATCCTAGAACTGAGAGGTAACTGAGGTTAAGTACATAAGACCTACCTTTTGTTGAGTTCTTTGAACTATGGTGCTGGAGAAGACTCCTGCGAGTCCCCTGGACTGCAAGGCGATCAAACCGGTCAGTCCTAGAGGAGATCAACCCTGACTGCTCTTTAGAAGGCCAGATCCTGAAGTTGAAACTGCAAGGCGATCAAACTGGTCAATCCTAGAGGAGATCAACCCTGATTGCTCTTTAGAAGGCCAGATCCTGAAGTTGAAACTCAAATACTTTGGCTACCTAATGAGAAGGAAGGACTCACTGGAGAAGAGCCTAATGCTGGGAAATATTGAAGGCAAAAGAAGGGGACGACAGAGAATGAGGTGGCTGGATGGAGTCACTGAAGTGGTAGGCGTGAGCTTAAATGGACTCCAGAAGAAGGTAGAGGACAGGAAGGCCTGGAGGAACATTGTCCATGGGGCCATGATGGGTCGGACACGACTTCGCAACTAACAACAACAAATCAATCGCTGTGTGTCCTCTGCATACCAAGGACATCCAGGAGAGAAGTCCCACAGCTCTCTACCTAATTGATTGCTCTGATGAACAAATACCATAAGAAATTCTTCCTGATATACAAGGCAGAACTGCCCTCCAGCAACTTAAGATCACATCCCGTACTCTAGGAGTGTGGGAGTGCTTGATCAGTAGAAAGGAAAAATGATTTTCTCCAAATAATTTGTATAACTATGATTCCTCATCATTAGCTACATCCTGGATATTTAAAGCTCCAAATAAACCCGCTATCCTGTAGAAGATGTATTATGGTTCTTCAAAAGAAACAGAAGTAAACAACAGGATATTCCCTATTTTAGGCTATGTTTTTACAATTCTTCACCGACTTTGGCTGAAGCTGGTGGAGCGCAATCTAACTGAAGGGCACAAGATTGTTTATTTCTAATTTACACCATTTATTAAGACAATAAAAGGTCATTATAGTCCCCCAATTATGATCCAGGGTGACAAAGTACAACGCAAGTAATCCTCAACCTATGCCCATTATGGTCATATGTTTCAACAGTCCCAAAACAGGATTGTCACACAAACAACCCGATTTCACATTTTTATTTTTTTTTACAGTAGCCATTAAGTGAATATGGCAGTTGTAAAGCATGGCTTTGACACAAACACCGCTGTCATTAAACAAGCAAATGCTTTGTTATGGGCACAGTTTTACCGAAAATCAGGAATGCTGATCATAAACAGCAGTCATGTAATTGTGAGATGTTGCACATGGCTGTAAATGCATCCATGTTGCCAAGTGCCTAAAGTTCGGTCACGTCATCATGAAGGGGGCCTTCAAACTTCAAACAGCTGCTATGCAACCAGTAATAGGTCAAGGACTGTCTAAATAACAATTTAAGCTGAATTCAGTGTGGCAAATACAGGGGATGTCAATCAACGTTAACTGTCATGATTCCGATAAATGAGACCAGTAGAAATAAGAATTCTGAGGCAATTGCTTTCCTCAAAGAACACTTTTAATGGCTATATAATATCAGCACGAACATAGGTGAAATCAAGACTGAAAGTTACCCCCCCCAAAAGGTTACAAAGTAAAAGCTGAACTCCCCACCCCTTAGTGTGTCATAAATTACAATCCCCAATTTACACCAACGGTAGCTCCAGCCCGCCAAACACTTAGGCTGCTTGACCTTGGTTCCCACAGGAAAGTTATTGTTTTGACTAATCTATAAGAACGTATCTCCCCTCCTCCCATTGCTGTGGCAACCCAAAAACAAGAAACATGGCTGTATTCAGAGCATCTGAAGGTTTGACAGTAACAGCCCAAACAGGAGCTATTTCAGGGTGACAGAAAAATTAAGAAATGGAATTCAACAGGGAAAATGCAGATTGTGAGGAAAAACACCCTATTGAGGAGCCTAGCTAAGATTAAGCAAAGCTTTTCAATGTTAATGAGTACTTTGGCTCCTATGCCTCTGCTGGGTATCCCTACTGTGCCCTCAGGTCCCTGAAGCCCAAAAGGCAAGACACCTGGCTTCCGGCCCTCACCTGAGAGAAAGGCAGTTCTCCAGTTAGCTGTTTTCCCAGCATCACCATCCGGGCGACCCAAAAGAACAGAAGATCACTCCCAGTCTCCAAAAGGTTGTTGGGAAAGAACTGCTGGAGGTCTTCTGTCTGAGGGAAAGAGAGATGCATCTGATATCACCGTCTTCATCAGGGAACACCTGCCCATCTTGGGAAATAGCCTAGAGAGGGTCTGCTGAAGGTCCCATTTTCACAAGAGGTGAAAAAGAGCGAACCCAGGAGCAGGACTTTGGGGCGATTGCCCCAGTGCTGTGGAACATGTTGCTTCCACCGATGCAACTGGTCCACCCCACTCCCAGACATCCAGACTGGAGAAAGAAGACACTTCTTTTAGCAGATTTGGGAGACGTAATCAGGTAATGAATGGACAGCCATTGAGTTACCTCTTGCTATTGTTTTCATATTGGGGCTGACCGGGTTGTTGATTTTTATGGCAAGCTGCAGGGTGTTAGTTAGGGATTGCGTTTTATATTATTTTACACTGTATATTTGTCAGAGTTGTTTTGAGTGGGTGGTATAGGTCATCTGTAAAATAAACATGCACATTTTAAGAAATGAAGTGGTCACTTTCAGGTTTTTTTTTGTTTATCAATCTCAGGAACCTCTGGTATGAAAGCGAGGGATTGGAATAATTAATCCATAGGATATTCTTGAGATACCCATTTAAGAACGGGTCTACATGTTGGACTAAACCAGGGGTAGGCAACCTTGGCTCTTTTATGACTCGTGGACTTCAACTCCCAGAATTCCTGAGCCAGCATGGCTCAACTTGGAAACCTCTCCCTTTCCCCTCAGCATGGCTGGCTCAGGAATTCTGGGAGTTGAAGTCCACGAGTCATAAGAGCCGAGGTTGCCAACCCCTGGGCTAAACCATAACATAGTTTTAGTATTATTTTAGCGTTTTGGGTGGAAAGAGCCACTTTGGTTTGCAAGCCGTGGCTGATGACTTCACATTCTTGATGATCCCAGCCATCTCTGGCTCAGTCATTAACCCACAGCTAAACCAACTTATGGTTTGCAATAGTGGCAAATATCTGTACCTCAGGTATAGGCTGAGGGTGAAGGTTCCAAGTTTGTGTGTTAGTTTCCAAATGTTTCATTACCAGGCTAGGTAAGACCAGCAGTTCACCTCCCAACGACCGTGACCTGATGTAATCTCCCCATCACAAGATCTATCACAAGCCTCTCACTGATGACTCACACCTGACCCATGACAAGACCCTCATTTCACATACCCATACCTGAAGCCCTTATTAACAGAAGACTGTTTAGAACACTGACATCCCCTAAACTCCGCTGAAGATGTTACCTAGCCTAGTATCAAAATGTTTGGAAACCAACCCAGAAGCTTGGAGAACAAACCTCCACCCTCAGACTTATGGTTTTCCATAATGGGTGAATCAAACCTAAATCTCCATGCTCAAACTGTGAAATAGAAAGACCAGCAACCCAACGCTTGGCTTGATTTAGAAGATACAGTGGTGGCCAAAATTGTGGAAACCTTTTGAGAAAAGCATACAGTAGAAATGCCACCTTTGGTTAAGTTTCCACCAATTTTTCTTCTAATTTCTTTATAACTGTAGCCTTGTTCACTTAATAATATTATTTTACATCGCTTTCTGGGCAACCAGTGAACTCTTTGCACCATTACTTTAATTTTATTACGTTTTACAAGCTCACTAAATGAAAGAACACAACCCCCCCCCCCAACCAACTGGATAGCAATCACATAACACACTGACAAATGTCCTCCTCTCAGCTTCAATACATGACATCAATCACTGAATCCTACTGAGATCTGATTGGTTCATTGTCAAAACAAGATGACACCTGATTGGTTCTCTAAACACTCATGCTCATTGGCTACAATCAGATGAAGGAAAGCTACCTGATATCAACCTAACCTTCCTTTTTCTGGTTATTTGGCTATAACTTTTCACAGAATACAGTACAGATAATTGAACAAACTTTGTTGCATTACATTCTTGATTAAATTATCTTTCCATTGATATATAATTTTATGGTACTACTCCCCCCCAAAAAGTGGTGTTATTAGCCATCAAACCTCAAAAATACACTTTTCCCAAAAGGTTTCCACAATTTTGGCCACTACTGTAAAGAGGACAGACTTGGGTCTGGCCTTGGCAGCTCCAGTCCCATCAGATCTGGAGAAGTTGGCCAAAAGCTGCAAAATCTTTTGCCTACCAAATTTTTCAAAACATGCTTTTTTTCACGGTGACAATTTTCATGGGAAAGCAATCAAGTGCCAAAATGCCACCCACTTCAAATGTTCTAGCTGTCTATCATTCCTGGGCAGGACTTATCAGAAATGGTCAAACAGCAGAAGATGTTGCTTCCAAAACAGCCATCTCCTGGATTGCGGATTGCAATTCACACATTCCATCCAGAAAGGCCAACAGCAATGGCTGATAAGAAAGGCAGTTTGATTCTCACGTATAATTTCCAGTGAGCCTAAACAAGAGATGGGTGTGATGGGAGTTGGAATCCAATATACCTAGATGTAGGAAGCTGGATGTAATCTAATGAGAATAACTTTGGCAGACAGGAGCCAGAGCTGTAGCTTGGGCAACGGTCAGATAAAGAAACATCTCAGCCCACAGAATGAATGGGGATGGACAAGCATCTCAGGAGGGACCCTTCTTAATTCTCTGGAAAGCACAGGCAAGGGAGGGGAGAAGTACTTTCAGACTCGCAAGATTGTTGCTGTATCCTTAAAAGAAAAGTATTGCACTGGACAGTTTCCTGTCCAGACTACCACAAGTACGGTCAATGCAAGCCAACTGCTCTACTTCTCCAAAGGTTACTCACCTTCTGGGGCCAGCCCAAAGCAGCAAAAGGGAAGAGGCTGGAGGAGAACCAAGTATCCAAGACATCAGCATCTAGAGAAGAGAAAAGCAAGTGGAAATTTTGCATTTAAATTATCTCATAGCCCAGTGGTTCTCAACCTTTTTAATGCCGCGACCCCCAACCGGTCGTAAGTCGAGGACTACTCAACTGGTGCAGCACCGTTTGTAGAATGGGACTTTTGGCGGGCTCAGCAGGGCAGAGACAGCCTGAACAATTCCTATTGGCTTTTGAAAGCCAACAGAATTAGACTCTATTCAAGAGAGTCTATCCTATTGGCTTTCAAAAGCCAATAGAATAAAAGGGAGTAGCACAGCTAAGGAAAAGGGGAGAAAAAATGGCGGACTGCGTTGTTTGGCGACCCTTGTGAAATGGTCGTTCAACCCCACTGCCATAGCCCTTAAGATTCTAAAAGACTAAGTTTTTAGCCAGATGTTTGTGAAAAAAAGTTCCACAGAAATATATCCCATTTCAGGAAGGCAACAGGGGCTGGTTTTGAAAAGTCTTCTATTTCTCCTAAGTGCTATTTCTAGCTGCCTCCTTAAGTCTTAAAAGTCTTGGGGAGGATTAAATGAAATGTTTTAATGAAATCATCTATGGGAGAATATAAATATATAAATAATAGAGGTATTAAAACCACATCAGCACCACGAGATTAAAACATCACCGGTCAAGAACAAAATCATGTCATTAAATTACAATCAAAGTCACTAAGAAAAATCTAAAAGAAAAATCACACAATTAGATACTAGCCAATGCCAATAAGACAGCATCATATAGACCAGCGGTTCTCAACCTATGGGTCGCGACCCCATTTGGGGTCGAACGACCATTTTACGGGGGTCGCCAAACAATGCGATCCGCCATTTTTCCCCCTCAGGGGGACGCCGCCGCACATGCGCACCACGCATAGGGCGCCGCCGCGCATGCACGCCACGCATGGGGTGCCACCGCGCATGCACACCACGCCGTGTGTGACGGGGGTTGCTGTCACACAAAGGTTGAGAACTGCTGATATAGACCAATTAAATAAATAAATAAATAAATAAATCATCACCAGAGGTCCTCCAAAGCAATTATATGTGTAATGTTTTTTTCAGAAGGCCATGTCAACAGCTAGATCAGACCAGGAAATCAAGTCCCCAAGAAGACTAAAAGTTATTTTTATTCAAATTGGCAATAATGGGAGAATCTTAAAAGTGTGATTGGGCTGTCCTCCTCCTGCTTCTTATAATTTAGTGAATTAGAGATGTATTTGTCCAAGCCATTTCTGAATGTTATCTGGCTGTTTTGGATTTAAACTATGCTGCAGACCCTTTCGTTGCCTAGGCAACAGCTCCTGTAGAGCATTAGGAAGATTATCTTCCTTGTTCTCTACAGCAGGGGTCCGCAACCTGAGGGGTTTGCAACTGGACTGTGGAAGCAGCCGGCACTGGATCGCGCACGCACATTCTCATTAGTGAGAGCAGCGGGCGAGCACACTCTCCATTTAAGTGAGTGGCAAGCAAGCGTGCACCCAGCTCTCGCAAATGGAGTTGTGTGCCCGTGTGCTTGCCAGCTGCTCGCATGGAACCATCCTCTTCCCCTCCCCCTTGCTGGTTTGCCAGAAACATTGGGGATCTCTGCTCTACAGGCCATCATATTGGGGCCAAGCCTGACATCCACATAATTACAGCTACATAATTGGAGCCATTAAGAAAAACTTTATTTCAGTTCCTCTAATCTTGCAACAAATACATGAAATCTTCAAGAGTTTTTCCCATGATGAATGTATTGGGTAGACTGTAGTTGGAGAATGTAACCCCTGAGGTGCCTTAGAGACAAACCATAAAGGATATTAAGGTCAAAACTAACCCTTTAAATTGCACTCAGATGCCTCTTGTGAATACTCAATAAAAGCGTCTTCCTGGGAACACAAATGGCTCTTTTCCTCACAGAAATGTACAGATAAGTCCTCAGCCTACGACCACAGCTGAGCCCAAAATTTCTGTCGCTAAGTGAGACAGTTGTTAAGCGAGCTTTGCCCCGTTGTACGACCTTTTTTGCCACAGTTGTTTAGAGAATCACTGCAGTCGTTAAGTTAGTAACACGGTTGTTAAGAAGTGAATCAGCTTCCCATTGACTCTGCTTGTCAGATTTGCCAAAGATGATCACATGACGTTGCATTCAGAAATATGAACCAGTTGCCAAGCATCCAAATTTTGATCATGTGACTGCAGAGGTCCTGCAACGGTCACAAGTGTGAAAAATAGTCGTTAAGTCACTTTTTCCAGTACTGTTGTAACTTTGAACAACCGCTAAAATTTCAGTGTTTCTCAACCTTGACAATTTTAAGGCATGTGGACTTCAACTCCCAGAATTCCACATGCCTTAAAATTGTCAAGGTTGAGAAACACTGCGCTAAATGAACTGTTGTTAAGTCGAGGACTGCCTGGAAGCTCCTGTATTGTTGCTTTACCTTTCACCAGCTCCAGCTGCTGTTCAGATTTTCCCAGCATGCCGGCTGCTTTCCTCCGGGCTTCTGCTTCTGTCCTGCCCACTACCCATAATCCATTGCTCTCCCTCTGCTGAGATACAGACACAAAGGAATATAAGTTGCACGATGGCTGACAGAAGCAGACATTTTCCCCCTCCCTCCTCAGCCGAGCATTCATTTTCAGTTCCTGATCGACAGTCAGAAAGCTTGATGCTTACCTCTTCTAGGTCAGGTGACCCAGGAAGCATGACCTGATAGGCTGGAATCTGATGGCCCCACCACAATTGTCGAGAAATACACCAATCACTAAGCAAGGACATCAGAAGGACAGCATGAGGAGTTTAAAAGATAAAAAAAAAACCACCACGGCATCACACTAAATCATCTAGCTTGGTCTTCCCTACACTAAGAATGTCCTCTTGTATAACTTCCTCAGAGCTGAAATCCCTAAAAATGCACAACAGCTCAGCTCAAGAGAGCATGTAATGTTACCACCAACTAGACCAGTGATGGCGAACCTTTTAGAGACCGAGTGCCCAAACTGCAACCCAAAACCCACTTATTTATCGCCGGGTGCCAGGTGGGCGTGGCCCACTGGGTGGGCGTGGCTGTGGTGGTCATGGCAGACTGGGTGGGAGTGGCCAAGGTGGGCGTGATCACCTTGATGTTGATCGTGGGGAGGGATGTCTGTGGGGACTGGGCAGGGTTGGGGGAGATCCAGGGGGTCTCTGGCAGGTGGGACGGTGGGCAGGAGGCTCGTCCTGCGGGGTGAGGCGAGGCAAGGCAAGGCAGGGCGGGGGTGCCATTGTCACAGGGAAAGGGGTGCTGCCTGACACCATCGACCCCCGCACACAGAGACCAGCAAGTGCATGGGTGTTGGGATGCATCTGGCCATGTGGGACCTCGGCCAGTTAGCGGGCAGCTGGTTGAAGAGGGACGGTTGCTATTTCTGGGGCACGGCGTGCATGCCCACAGAGAGGGCTCTGAGTGCCGCCTCTGGCACACGTGCCATAGGTTCGCCACCACTGAACTAGACTGAACAGTGGTGACCAAATAAAGAATAATTTAAGCCATTAAGCTATTTAATAAAGGCCGTTTTTCTCATCGGTGGAGGCTACAATGCTGAGCCAGTCTTCAAAAACATGAATCCCAGCCAAACAGAGGATAATAAAAAGAACATGCAACTATTCGTGGAAGCTCTCCCTTGTCTTACTTGATGTTCAAGAGCCAGGTTCTCCAGTTTTTCTTATAAAATTGGGGGGTCAGCTTCAAAGATCCAGATTCCACTGCCTTAGGAGATAAACAGGAGAGGTGAATTCTTATAGAATCTGTCTATTTATTTTCTTCTTAACTGTGGTGATGACAAAACTGTACAATTTAACACCATCATATACCTCTACAGCAAAGCTTTCATTTCCATGATGGAATCAGAGGTCACAAGAAGCCGTAATAGCATTTGTCTGATTTTAGCTGAGCAATATGATGGTAAACAATAAATGCTAGAATCAGGAGCAGAGGTTTTTCAACAGACCATGCATAAAAAAACATGGATGCCATGTATAAATATATTACAGTTAGTCCTCAACTTATAACCAAAGTTACAACAGATCTGAAAAAGGGGACTTACAATCCCTTGTCCAAAATCCTGACAGTCACCCCTTCTTCATGTCACCACACTTTGGGCTCAGCAACACAGTCACAGCTATAGCTGGTTCCCACACCCCACAGTCACGTGACTGCATTTTACAACAGTTTTGCTGAAGACCAAGGCTTACTTCCAGTTTTCTGCAAAAATGTGCCATAACAAACCATGGGTTCACTTAACAACCACCATGTTTGCTTAATGATGGCTGCAAAAGCCATAAAATCAAGTTGGCCATGTGACCAGCCTATTTTTCTGACTGATATGACTTACAACATTAATGGGCAGGCTCCATTATGGTCATAATTCAAGGACTGCCTTCAGGTTCATTCTCAAAATTAAATATATTGAAGGGCCTGCCAATTCTTCAAACAAGCCAGAAAAAAAAATGGAGCAAAGATTGGTAACTATGGCAACTTTATGACCTGTGGACTCCAACTCCCAGATTTCTTGAGCCTGCCACAGCTGGCTCAGGAATTCTGGGAGTTGGAGTCCACAGGTTATAAAATTGCCATAGCGGCCCACCCCTGATTTGGAGGGTTACCTCTAAGGCGCTTTGAGCAATAGCTTCACATCGGACAAACCACTGGTTCTTCAAGAGGATTTCAATCACATCTCCAGAGCGGCTGTGGATGAAAAAAATAAACCAAGAGCTCCCTTACAATCTCTTTGTTCCCTTTAATTTAATTTAGGCCCCACCTTTCATTCAGATAAGCATGTGAGGCAGCTATAAAATTTAGAAATGAAAACAAAATACAGTTAATGATACAAAGCTAGAAGCTAAAGGAGTTAAACCTTTAAGTTCAGGAAGAAGTTTACATTATCAGTACAACTTCAAAAGGTTAATAAACGTAAGGATGTTTAAATTGTACAATTAAAGCTAAGTATGACATTGGAAGACCTTTGCAAAGTGCATTTAAGGTTCCTGTGGGGTCCTTGGTGCCTCTCAGCTTGATGGTTTTCTTGCAAACATTTCACTACCAAACTAGGTAATATCATCAGTGCTGGCATATGATATTGTATATAACCGTGGTGGCGAACCTATGGCACGCGTGCCACAGGTGGCACGCAGAGCCCTCTCTGTGGGCACGTGCGCCATTGCCCAGTCCTAGGCCTTCATCTGGGTTTTATAAAACCTTTTCACTTTAGGCCTCGGCCACGGTGTGAAAAAAAAAAAGGTTCAGTCAATCAATCAATTTCAACTTCTCGAGGGGAAAAAAAAAAAAGATCTCGCAAAGTTGGAATTGATAGATTGAACTTTTTAGTCCCACCCAGTCTGCCGTTAGTACCGCAGCCATGCCCACCCAACGGGCCACGCCCACCCAACAGGCCACACCCACCCAGCACCCGACGATACGTAAGTGGGTTTTGGGTTGCAGTTTGGGCACTCGGTCTCTAAAAGGTTCGCCATCACTGGTATATAATATGTATTTTTGTCAAATGTTTACCCTGTCTGACCTCCCGTGACTTCTTAGCAGCTTCCCACAAAATCTGTCCCATAACCCTGGAGGGAGGGAGGCAAAGGGGGACAGGAGGGAGCCCAACATAAACATTTCAGGGTCCCATTACCTGCAAACAGGAAGGACTAAGCAATGGTCTTTCGCACCCCGATAGAGCCCTTTCTCCTTCAAAGCAGCCAACACTTTCTCTCGAGCCAGGAATCGATGCAGTCCCTGAAAAAGGAACCGCCCGTGTCCAAACCAGCTCGGTGGCATCTATTTTACTATGGCAACTGGTTGAGTTGCCTCTTCAAAAGGGGCAATTACCCCCCCCCCCCAAAGTCCACACCATCTGTTCAGTGGTGCTGAGTGAAACCCAACCATTATGAATTGCAAAAAATGGACTTACCTGCACCCATTCCCCACATTCTGCGGTCATCGTGCCGTCGTCTGCAATAACTGAAACGAGTGGCAAGTTGTGCCTCTGGGCCAGTTTGTAGTCAGCGTGGTTGTGTGCTGGAGTGACCTTCACAGCCCCTGAAAGAGGGTGTGGAGCACAAGCTGAGAGGCATCTCTCAAGGCAAGCGTTTGCCACATCAACCTCTGGCTTCTGCCAGGCGGGAACAGAGGCGCGTTTCTCACCTGTGCCCATCTGCAGCTCCACGGCTGGATCCGTAACGATAGGAAGGAGACGTCCGGTGAACGGGTGGCAGACTCTCTTGCCGTGCAAGTGCTGCCAAAAACATGCCAGAAAGACAGTTCAGGTCATATATGTGTAGGGTCAAGAGGTTCTGCCTGAAATAAACAGATGGGCAAAAATCTGTGTCAACGTGGCCTTCCGTGGACTCAACAGGGTACAACGTACAAAGCTGCTTTATCCCATTTTAGGCAATATCGTGATGAAGGCCAGTATTACAGGCATTGTTTATCAGGATTTTTGTATTTTTTTGTATTTAATTTTATTTATATGCCGCCCAATCCCAAAGGACTCAGGGCGGCGTACAGAGTTAAAACAATCATAAAACAATAAAATAATACAGTCATACCGCGAGTCCGATCATATCCCGCCCCCCGCCCCGGGGACATCAGCCCCAGGCCTGCCGGAACAGGAGAGTTTTAACAGCTTTCTTAAAGGCCGGCAGGGTCGGAGTAGTTCGAACCTCGGGGGAAAGTTGATTCCACCAGGTCGGAGCCACCACAGAAAAGGCCCTTCCCCGAGGGCCCGCCAGCCGACATTGTCTGGCCGACGGGACCTGAAGGAGGCCCAATCTATGGGACCTCACCGGTCTCTGGGAACTGTGCGGCAGTTCCCTAAAGCCGTGTTTCTCAATCTTGGCAACTTTAAATTGTGTGTACATCAAATCCCAGAGTTCCCCAGTACCTTCCTGGCTGAGGAACGCTGGGAGTAGAGGTCCATACAGCTCAAAGTTACCAAGGTTAACAAACATTGTCCTAGAGCAAGGGTAGGCAACCTTGGCTCTTTTACATGTATTCCTGGCTCAGGAATTCTGGGAGTTGAAGTCCACGAGTCATAAAAGAGCCAAGGTTGCCTACCCCTGGACTAGAGTAAGAATGAATTATCTGAAGTCCAGAGGTTATATATGGATCTCTGAACCTCTTTTGGCAGTCCCCTTCTATTCCAACATCACAAGGCAAGAATGTCAGTGACAACAACAGAAAATCACACCATGCATTGTAAAAAAGATGTAAAATTGCTATGTTATGTCCCCAAAATTTAATACATCTTTTTTTCCAACTCTCACATCACCTTCCAGCTTTTCTGCCTCCAGAGATGCCATATATCAAGAGTTCCCCAACGTTTCCAGCTTTGTGGACCAGCGGGGGGGGAGGGGGAGAGGGGATGGTTCAGCTCCATTTGTGCAAGCAGCGTGCACACACGCTTGCCACTCACTTAAATGGAGCGTGCACGTTCACTCACTGCTCGCACAAGTGAGGATGCACGTGTTAAGCGCTCACTGGCCATTTTCATGGCCTAGTGGGCCACAGGCTACAGGTTGGGGACCCCTGCCATATATCTCATGTCTCTTGTACTTTTAGAAGATGGGAGAAGTTGAGGGGGGGGGGGTAGGGCAAGTCCTCGTTCTTCTCTTCATTAAACTAGACATACCCAATTCCAGCAACTGTTCCTTATATGTTTTAGGGGACTGGATGCTAAAACATATAAGGAATGGTTGCTGGAATTGGGTATTTCTAGTTTAATGAAGGATGAGGGGGGACATGATAGCAGTGTATCTCAGGGGCTGCCACAAAGAAGAGGGAGTCAAGCTATTCTCCAAGGCGCTTGATGGCAGGATAAGAAGCAACGGATGGAAACTAACTAAAGAGAGAAGCAACCTAGAACTAAGGAGAAATTTCCTGACAATCAGAATAATTAACCAGTGGAACAACCTGCCTCCAGAAGCTGTGAATGCTCCAACACTGGAAGTTTTTAAGAAGAGACTGGACAGCCATTTGTCCGAAATGGTATAGGGTTTCCTGCCTGAGCAGGGGTTGGACTAGAAGACCTCCATGGTCCCTTCCAACATTATTATTATTATTATTACTATTATTATCTCAATCTAAGAGAACCACTTAACTCTATAATTCAAGATGGCTTTGTTTTTCTGTCTTTTCTTCGAAAAAAAAAAGAAAAGGATCCAACCCATTACACTTACAAGATGTAATAACATTAAATACAATCTCAGAACAGATCAAAGTTTCCTTTTACTCTGAAAGGAGGCCTTGGGCAGAACAGCCTTACCAAGTAGCGTGAGTCATCAGGGTGAATGGCAACAGCCACATCGCCAAACATTGTCTCAGGGCGAGTAGTAGATATAGGAACTTCCATGCCTGTTTTTATCAAGGAAAGGTAATTGTCATTGGAATGAAAATAGAGCCATCCAACATTACCACAACTATCTTTAATTGTTTTATGATTGTTTGCCACCCAGTCACTTTTTTGAAATTGGATGGCTATAGAAATTGAAGAAGTAAACAAATAAACAAACAAACATTATTTAGATAGATGACCAGTTGCCTGTGGCTTTCATGAATAGTTAACTCAGACAGAGATGTGGTTGAGTAAGGAGTCGGCAATTTAAAGAATTTTGTAATGGATCTTGCCTAAAACGTTCATCCTCATTTAGGAAAATGTCTAAAGTTAACCAATTCTTAGCTTTTTAAATTCTTTTCACAGCAAAGTGTCCTGCACATTCAGGCTTTTTCTCCTTTGCAGCACTTCTTAGACTGACCCTGGGAAGCTGTATAGGCAAAGGGTCATTCCAGGGAATGATGGAGCAAAAATGAAAAAAAAAAAAAAGGAAGACAACCTATGTTATTCAAAATGCTTTTTTTATCATGAAAAGAGGTAAAATTCCAAGAGACCCTCATAGTTCATTCATTTTCCAAACAATTTAGACCTGGCAATTAGGCCAGACACTAATTCTCCAAGTTGAAAGTAAATAAAGACAGATTTACATCGAGCCTTATATCCAAAACACTGTTTCTCAATATCCGTAGCTTTTAAGCCTGCAGTCAGGGAAGTTCTGGAGTTGAAACCCACATCATAAAGTTGCTGGACTTGAAAAACAATGGTCCAGAGCAGCGGTTCTAAAGCACCCTGCCGTGGCACATGGGTATCCTGTCATGCCTCGCTTAGCAACAGAGTTGCTAGTTCCAACAGCAATCAGTAAGAGAGGACTACCTTTATCTACAACTTTAAGCTAAAGATACAAAACAAAATCACATCCTGAAAATATCCAGCAAGAATTGTGACCGGCCAGCAGCCAAAACTCAAGATTATCATCCCATTAAAATGCGAGCTGCCTCAGGAGTGCCAACTCACTTTCCTCTCCTTCGACTTTGTAGGCAAACGTCTCCAATACCCCAAACAGCACTTTGTCCTCAAGTCCAGGCACAGAGAGCTTTGTCCGTCCTTCTATCTGTCTATTCTCCACCTGCCAGGGATACAGTCTATCAGTTTCTAGTCTCTAAATATTACCAAAGTCCTCACTTGAGGCTCTACTCCAGTGTTTCTCAACCTTGACAATTTTAAGGCATGTGGACTTCAACTCCCAGAATTCCACAGCCAGCATTGCTGGCTGTGGAATTCTGGGAGTTGAAGTCCACATGTCTTAAAATTGTCAAGGTTGAGAAACACTGCTCTACTCCAACCGCATACCTCGATGTCAGAAATGGCCGACTGCAAGGCACAAGACCAGTTCACCAGGCGCTTGTCTCGATATATCAGGCCTTGTTCGTGAAGTTGCACAAAAGCCTCTTTCACGGCTTGAGAGAAACGCTGGACAAGAAGAGGAGGAGAATTGTTACAATAAATCCGTCTTTTTCAAACTAAGACGTGTGGAGTTTAACTCCCAGAATTCCCTTGCTGCTGCTGAATTGTGGGAGTTGAAGTCCACATCTTAAAGTTGCTAAGGTTGAAAAACATCACCATAAAGGCTAATTTGCCTCATAAATCAAAACCGAATTCCCTCTTACTGATTTCCTAATTAACGCCACAGCCACAAAGACTCCACTAAAAACACTTAGGGCCCATTCTGAAATGGAAAAGTTACATTCCAAACTACAAATGGAAAGTTAACTTCTCCCCTTCAAAAGAACTGATGTTAACAGAGGCTTATTTTAATAAACATTTTCCTGCAGATTCCCCCCTTTTTTTAAATAAAAGAGAGATAGAAAAAGGGAGACTGGTCAGCCAATTAACCTGGTATCTCTCTGGGGAATTGAATCTAGCTATTTTTACACCCAGATTCAATACTGACGCCAGTAACTACTGATTCTCTTGTTAAAAAAATGACCATTCCCCAAAGACAAACAACTGAAATTGCTCAGCGTCCCCAAATTAATGGTTAAGGCAAGACATAGTCTTAAAGCCTCTGCCAAAATCCCAAAACAGAAAACACTCAATGGGAGACACTAATGGGAGTAGAAAATGATTCTTTAAGTGGAATATGAAATCTAAATGGGATTTCATTTGTAAATGTCTCTTATCTTTCCCTTGAATTTCACATTTAGTCTGGTAAAATTTTCCTCCGTCACTGTTGCCTTTTGATCCTTTCCTCAGCTGTTCTCAGGGTATCAGCAGACAGCCATTTTTATCTTCTTTTGTTTCTTATAATGTAGATTATTTTGAATGGCTTCATCTTTAACAATATCACACAATTTGGTCCAGAGTTCTTCAGGCACTGCATTTATGAAAATCAATCTATTAAATCAGTATCATTGGGACATGCAAGCCCCTTCACCACTTCAAGGTAATGATCCATGCAGGAGTTTTTACACAATGTGGCTGTACAAAATGGGAATGGACCTTTAGTCCTTGACTTATGGCTTAATGACCATTTGAAGTTATGATGGACACCCCCAAAAGGGTATTCAGTTCCAACAGCTAGATCCCACCCTACAGTCACATGACTGCATTTCAGATCCTTGCAATCAACTCACATTTATGGCTGTTTACAGCATCCTGTGATAATATGACCACAATTAAGAAGAAACTGGACAACCATTTGTCTGAAATGGTATAAGGTTTCCTGCCTGAGCAGGGGGTTGGACTAGAAGACCTCCAAAGTCCCTTCCAACTCTATATTATTATTATTATAATATTTACACTTTTGCCCAAAATTGGCATTTATTCCAGATTTTGGCAAATTCACACCATAGCAAAAAACGGGTTCTCTTAACAACTGCAGCGTCCACTTCATAAGTGTGCCATTCATTTTACGACCAATATGTATGCTTAAAGACTGCTCCAATTGGGTCAGTTGTATAGGTGACTCGCTTTATGACCATCATAACATACAATCGTAATGGACAGACTCCATTATGATTATAAGTCAAGCGACCTATCTATATGTGTTATTTTACACATTGCAAAGCTTACTATGGGCAGACAGAATTGTGTCTGCTGAATACTAAAACTTGTAAACTGGACTCTATTAGATTGAGAGCTGGCTGCCTTCTGCTCTCTGAATGTGAGGAAAGAATACAGAAACAGAAAACATTTGCTGGTAGAGATATCAACTACTCACTGAATCCATAGTAAAGCAGGCTCTGTCCCAGTCCAAAGATGCTCCCATCTCTTTCAGCTGTTGGAATATTTCATTCCCTTTCCTGATATTGCAGAAAGACAAAATAAAGCAAACCTTTTTTTGGGGGGGGGAGTCAGAAATATAAAGGAAAATACAAAGCATTCGACAGGGTTAGATGTTCAGAGAGAAATTGCCCAGTTTCTACTTTCAATAACCTGTTTCAGTGTTTTTCAACCTCAGCCAAGTCTGGACTTCAGCTCCCAGAATTCCCCAGCCAGTATGAAGTCCAGACATCTTAAAGTTACTCAAGCTGAAAAACACTATTTTTTTCATCTATTTAACCTTAACATTAAATCATTCCTATCGAATCTATTCTTAAACCAGAATTAGCCACCTGCCAGATACAGATATCTGTATCTTTTGTAGCCAAAAGCACATAAAGGGGTTTCCACAGCATTATTTATTTATATTTTACATTTCTAAACCGCCCATATGTCCTCAAAGAGAGATTCTGAGCAGGTACAATAAAACCTCAAAGCATAAAGCAATATATAACAAATTAAAATGCTAGAGTTAAATTTTGCGTTATTTTTTTTTAAATTACTTTTTCCTGAAATAAGTAGCAAATAGATCTATTTATTTATCCAAGAGGCAAACATATACTATATTCCTTTTTCCTCCTATTTTCCCTACAACCCTGTGAGGTGGGTTGGGCTGAGAGTGAGTGACTGGCTCAAAGTCACCCAGTCAGCTTTCATGACTAAGGCGGGATTAGAACTCATAGCCACCTGGTTTCTAGGCCAACACCTTCACCACAACACCAAACTGGTTACTCTTAAACCAAAGATAGGCACCCTTGGCTCTTTTATGACTCGTGGACTTCAACTCCCAGAATTCCTGAACCAGCATGGCTCAGCTTGGAAACCTCTTCCTTTCCCCTCAGCATGGCTGGCTCAGGAATGCTGGGAGTTGAAGTCCACGAGTCATAAAAGAGCCAAGGTTGCCTATCCCTGTCTTAAACCTTCAAGAGACTCAGCCTATTGTTAGTTCAGAAAATTGTCACTACCAATTCCATCCACTGCAGCTTCTTCATTTCTAATACTCACTCCTCGATCCACTTCCAAACTTCTTGGAGAAATTCATCCCGTGAGAGATCCTGGTGCAAAACTCCCTGTTCTTTCCAGATCTTTTTTTCTACCACAGCCTAATCAGATGAAGAAAGAACATAAAAACTTGTGAGAGACTCACAAGTGAGACAAAGAATCTGTCCCAATGGTATACAGCTAGTTCTTGACTTACAACCAATCGAGCTCAAACATTCCATTGCTAACGTTGCTAACAAGTGAGTTTTGCCCCATTTTGAGATCTTTTTTGCCATAATTGCAATCGCTACAGTTGTTAAGTTAGTAACATAGTTTTTAAGTGAATCTGACCCTCCCACTGATTTTGCCGGTCACAAAGTCACAAATATTGATCACATGACCTCTGGCCACTGCAACCGTCATAAATACATGTCAGTTACCAATCAGCCAAAGTTTGAACATGTGACCGTAGGGATGCTTTATCCAAACATCCCCAGAGTCCAAGTATGAAAAACAGTCATAAGCCACTTTTTTCAGTGCCACTGAACAGTCACTAAACAAATTGTTGTAAGTCAAGGACTACTGGTATATTTAAATGAGCTGAGATTTCTTTTTATGTTTTCTGGTTTGATTAAAAGCCACTGTGAGAGTCTTCCTCTTGGGCAGAAAGTTGGGTTAAAATATGCTTAGTAATTCACATCCATCCCGTTTTCCGCCCCAAGAATCCTTCCAGTTAATTCTAAAAGGATCAGAATCCTTACAGGAAGCGGAAGACTGATCAATTATTATTCAGGATTAAAAGCTTCAGCTTTGAACTGCTGATTCTCACCTGAGTTGCAATCCCAGCATGATCAGAACCTGGAAGCCAGAGAACTCGATAGCCTTGCATTCGTCTCCTGGAACACATCAAGGAGAAACAAATCTAGAATTCAGCTATCTTCTTTAAAAGTTCCAAATCCTTAGATCAGCGTTTCTCAACGTTTGTGTGATGGCGACCCCCGTCACACGGACGCGCCCCCATGCGCGGCGCCCCCCATGCGCGGTGCCCTCCATGCGTGGCACGCATGCGCGCCGCCGCCCCGAGGGGGGGAAATAGCGGATCGCGTTGTTTGGCGACCCCCGTAAAATGGTCGTTCGACCCCAAATGGGGTCACGACCCATAGGTTGAGAACCGCTGCCTTAGATGGCTTTCAGATACAAACAGAAATGCTCAAAATGCAGAGGAACAGGAAGAGAAAAGGAAAAGTACTGCTGTCAGCTAAGACAATATTTCTCAAAACTTAGCAGATTTAAGATGTGTGGACTTCAACTCCCAGAATTCCTCAGCCAGCATGGCTGAGGAATTCTGGGAGTTGAAGTCCACACATCTTAAACTTGCCAAAGTCAAGAAACACTAAATTAAGGAAAGGATTGTCCCATGGTAGGAAGACAGGCCACATCATTGCCAATAGAAGCAATTCAACCACATCACTCTAATTTCCCAGTAGTGCCATTTTTTTTGTATTCATCTCCCTTTTTATAGATATCTCTATTTCTCAGTGATTCAGCATGACTAAAATGCATCAGTAATAAACTTAATGCCTGTGGGGTCCATTGCTATTAATGCTCAAGGATCTGCACGACCATTTCCCAACTCCCTAGAAACACACTTACCATCGTACCAAAGCATCTTCGATAGCTACCGTCAAGGCATGCCCCAGGTGAAGGGATCCTGTGACATTAGGTGGTGGGAGAGAGATAGAAAATGTTTCTGGCTTCCTATGGGGCAGGTGTTGCTGTCAAAAAGAGGAACTGGATTTAGCATCGATCTGAGTTCACCTCCATACCATCCTACAGAGGCTCCAGACTGGTACTACAAACCCTGAAACTCTTAAAAATGTGACAGAAGTGCCTTCTTCTCCAGTTCGTTTACAAACTAAGTATGAAAACAGGTTGATTAGTGTTTCCCACAGAAAGTACTATTCACAAGGAAACACTCATCTAATTCAAATTTGCACAGCTAGTCCTCGACTTAAATGAGCCAGGTTGTAAGTCATGTTAGTAGCAAGTCATTACATGACCAACCCAACTTTATGATACTTTTTTACAGAAGTCGTTAAGCAAGCCTATTGTCCGCAATGGGCCGTTTTTGCTGGAAACTGGAAGTTGGTTTCCGGCGCAAAAATGTTGTAAATTGGAGTCACATGACTGTGGGATGCTACGAATAGCCACAAATGCAGGCCAGTTGCCAAATACCCAAAATGCAAATCACATGACAGCAAGGGGTTCCCTACGTGACTCATCATATCTAAGGAATGTCACAGGTGCATGAGAAATTGTGTGAAATGCATCCTCAGCCAATTGGATTGGATGACTCAAATAGTCACTATTATGAGAAAAGGAAGAAAAAAGTTTTAGCAACTTTCTCTCCTATCAAACATTGGCGCATTCGCTCATGACAAAGACTAATATTAAAGACCAATATTAATAATTTTACAGAAACATTTTTACCTGGAATTCTGGTTTAAAGAAACCTTCTTTCACCCACCAAGGATACCAGGCAGCTTCAACATAGCGTGGACTGTAGGAGGCGGGCAAAGGTGCTGAGGTATCTATGGGAAAGAAAGTCAAATTAAGATCCCGATAAATAAAATGGGCGCTTCTGCAATTCACACATCCAAAATTTTGTTGTATGAACGCAGCAAAATTGAGCACAAGACACAGCAACAACCATTCTAAAATTCTCAGCTTTCAGATGTTAATAAGGGCATCTTTAGTACGGATGATCAAGTCAAAAACATCTGGAGAACATGTGGACAGAATCTCAGATCTCTAACAGTATGACAAAATAGAAGCACAGCTGCATTCAAAAATTATGCTAATTGAGGATATAAATATGCTAAAAATATTGAGGAATAAAAAATCGGGCCCATAGGCAATTTAATGCCACAAACTTCATAAAATGTTCCAATTTAAGTTAACCCTTTTATAAAATTTATTATAATTGCCCATCCTGTTAGATTCAAGGTGGCATACAAAATCCAGAAGCACAATTAAGCATAGATAAATAATCAGCCTGGACTAAAACAATCAAAATAATAAACCATACAGATGGGCCCAAGGCCCCACAGATACACCAATGAAGACAAAGCTAGATGCTAAGGATGGCTGCCATTTTCTTCTAAATACTCCCTCACTCACTTGACAGACAACTATGAAATAAACTTTTCTTTGAAAACAGAATAAAATATCCCGTGACTGGACTATGCGGCCTCACTTTACCCAGCATATTGTTTCTATGGGACAAACAATTCTTGGCACATTAAAAATGATATAGCCTTATTAGTTTAGAATGAGGAGTATCAAATCAATTGCTTTGCCAAATTAGTCTGGATAAAACTGGAGCAGGAAAGAGTGACATTTTTCTAATCAACTCTGCCTAATAATCTTTCTGACAGCCAAACGTATGAAGAGGAATTTAATACAAGTGTGTGGAGACAGTAAAAGTGGAATGGATCTCACTATCAGAGCTAATCCTGGCTATATGTCAGCTCCATTCCTTTCTTGTCCATTCCTTTTCTTTTTACTAGCTCACGAGGACGCCAGAAATCCATGCTAGCCACCAGTTAACAACTTACACACACAGACAAAGAAAGGAAAATCCTGGAAGCCCATTTGAAACAGACTATTCTCATCTTACCTTTTTTCTGTCCAACTATAGTTGGGATGTCATATTCTGCAATGTTTTTTGAGGAAAGGATCTTGCCTTGATTTGAAGTTTCCTTCAAAGAGGAGGAAAAAGAGGGGAAGGTGTAAAAAAGTTTTTAAAAGAGGAAAAAATAAACTTAGTTGTTTATTTACATTTATCTGGCTTGTATAATGCCAAACCCTATAGGACACATGGAAGTTAACCATGATGTGTTAAATCACCCAAGATAAATAACGAAACACTAAAATACCGTATTTTCCGGCGTATAAGGCGACTCGGCGTATAAGACTCCCGACTTCGGAGCCGATTTGCATGCCTAGAAAGTCGTCTTATATGCCAGAGACTACCGTAATTTCCGGCATATAAGATGACTCGGCGTATAAGACGACCCCTGACTTCGGAGCCAATTTGCATGCTTTAGAAAGTCATCTTATACACCGGAAAATACGGTATTAAAATAAAATAAAAAACAAAACATTACTTTTAAGTCATTGTGATCATGTTAAAATCCTAAAAATAATGTCACCATCAATTTAGACAAAAATGTATCATCCCATAATTGATTCAGATCAAGATGGCACCGATCAATTGACAAACTGGACCATAGAGACATATTGGAGAGGTAGCCCAGATTCCCAGGAGGGAGGAGCTGCATTCTGGAGGAGCAAGAGAAGCGAAGTTTAGTTTGGTGGGGAGAAAGAGGGACAAGACAGCTCCTCTCTAGCAGTTCTTTATTTGGCAAGATTTCTGTCTGTAGGTGAGAACAATAAAAGAAACTACTCTGAAGAACTCGGTGTGTCTTTCTTGTTTTTTGGAACCTGACAAATCTTACTTATATAACAGCAGCCCTGCTGCCTAAGATCTCTTCCCAAGACGTAGACATGATCTTAAGGAAGGTGATATATCATGACTTCAACCTCCATAGGGGCCAAAAAACATGGTTTTTCCCTCTGATAGCAACAACCTCTGACTATCAGATTGGTCTTTATGGTGATGACCTGCCAGATACAAGGGATCAGGATCACGTGAAAACTTCTAACTCAGAAGATTTATTGCTCCAGCCTATACATAAGAATCTAGTCCACTAATGATTCATAAATTAGTACTAGGTAAGAATCAAGGGAATTGGGGGGGGGGGTGGGATGGGATCACTTGTGGCAATCTAATGACTCCATTAGATGGGGCCAAACTCACTTAAGAAATGTCTCACTTAACAACATAAATGTTGGGCTCAATTGTGGTTGTATATTTTGATATTTTGAAATTGTGCTATTGTACAGACTAATGATCCCTTATTTATTAATTTACTGTATTATAAAGTTAAGGGGATATATTAATTTTATTGTTCTCCCTTTACATCTTTATATTTACCAGGAATTCTGTGAAGGTCTAGTACAGATGGATCTGAATAACAGCTGACGAACAACATTTGTAGCAGCCAGTGACCAGAATGCCAGTTACATCATCAATATGAGAAAATCACAGCAAGTTCTACAAACAACAAGCAGAACTTACCCTAGCTTTGACAGGAAGATGCTGATGTTTTTAAAAATCAAGCCATTACTTTTGATCAAATATGGTTATTGTCAGTTTCCATTAAGCAGCCTTACCTTGGATCCAGCAGCCATCTGAGCTTCAATAGCCTCCATCTTTTTCCACAGCCGTTTTTGTCTTTGTTCCTTATTTTTTAGATGATCCATCTTCCCCACTTGCTTATTAAGATCAGTCTTACTTCCTTGGGAATAACCCCTCCTCCATCCACCAAATTCATCCCAGTGCCTCTTCTCTGCCCGGAGAAGCAGACGGCAAAGAACAGACATATTCCGATGGGAAGCAGAATTAAGATGGGCTGAAGGCATGTTTGACTGTAGGTGTGCTTAGTCCTCTTGCACACCAGCTTTCTCCCTTCCATTCCATACACACATGCTTCTAATCGTCACTTTTCCATCTCTTGTATTGCTGGAGGAGCCTGGAGAAATAAGTACCAAAACAATTATATAAATAAGGTTATAAACATAAGGTATTACTTGTGCATAATCTCTCATCTATCCAAAAAAAGAAACATAAATTCCTACTCCCGGTGGATGGGTGGGTGGGTGGATGGATGAACAGAAGAAGGAAGGAAGGAAGGGAGGGAGGGAGGGAGGGAGGGAGGGAGGGAGGGAGGGAGGGAGGGAGGGAGGGAGGGAGGGAGGAAAGAAGGGAGGTGACATGATAGCAATGTTCCAATATCTCAGGGGCGGCCACAAAAAAGAGGGAGTCAAGCTATTCTCCAAAGCATCTGAAGGCAGGATAAGAAGCAACGGATGGAAACTAATCAAGGAGAGAAGTAACCTAGAACTTAAGGAGAAACTTCCTGACAGTTAGAACAATTAACCAGTGGAACAACCTGCCTCCAGAAGCTGTGAATGCTCCAACACTGGAAGTTTTTAAGAAGAGACTGGACAGCCATTTATCCAAAATGATATAGGGTTTCCTGCCTGAGCAGAGGGTTGGACTAGAAGACCTCCAAGGTCCCTTCCAACTTTATTATTATTATAAGAAAGAAAGAAAGAAAGAAAGAAAGAAAGAAAGAAAGAAAGAAAGAAAGAAAGAAAGAAAGAAAGAATACATACATATAGGTGGCCTTCCTGATATTCATTCTGCAATTAAGCAAATGAAACAAACTTTTGTTGATGTACCTCTAAAGTGTCAAGTCTTCAAGGTTGTCCAGATCAGGAAACAGACCCTACAAGAATAGAAAAACTAAAAACTTTACTGAAAGTTAGGGGGAAATCAGCCTAATACTGTCTCCTTTCCCAGGGATTAAGGCAGATGTATGTCCTTTTTGATTTTGCAATGACCTCCGAATAGCTCCCTCAAGGCCATCTACATGGCTCTCTACATCAATAGAAAATACACCCTTGTATTACCTCTTTGTACAAACACTTTTATAAATTATGAGGACTTCAAAATAACTTTTGTTTCTATGGATTAATTGTTATTGACTGTATTTAAATTTAAAATTGACATATTTGCTGCCACTACTGCTCCTCAGAATTGTTTGATCAGATTGTAATATTGTGTTATTTTTCTTCATAAGGTGCCAAATCATTTTGATTTCGCAGATCCCTGAGAGAGTGTAGAGGACCTCCAGAGGTCCTCGGATCACATTTTGTGAAACATTGTTCTGAGACAATCGTTTTGTGTGAATATACATATTTATAAATGCACGCACACAATCTGCTATTCCCTTTTGAATAAGCAACGAAGAGAGCAGAAAAGGAGTAAAAAATGGTACTAACAAAAAAACCCCAAGGACAAGGTTCGGACTAAGGTTTTGGTTAGGGATTAGATTAGGGATAGAAAACTGGGCGGGATTCCAAATCCCATGCGCCTTAGCAAACATAGCCAGAGTTGGTGGAGTACGAGCATGATAAATATACATTAATATGATGAATCTTCAGTCAGTTAAAAATACAATACAATGGAAACTAATACAGATGGTGAGAGTCAGGAAGAGATTAAGGAAATAAGATAACCATATAGGCAAAAATAGTTGGGTCTGAGAAAGGAAGAACAGAAGCTATAAAAATATATAGGAAATGGCTAGCCAGGAAGTATAGGAAAGAAGGAAACCAGGCCAAATAAGATAAGAAGAGAATGATGAATTGAAATGATGAATTGAATTGAAAAGCAGGAAAAGAGCTTATTGTGGAGACAGAAATAAATATATTGAGTTTAAAAATAACCATAAGAAAATAATTTTTCTTATTCTTATTGTATATGTGAATATGATTTAGTATGTTATCAGGAAATGTGTATAGGCGGACGGAAAGAGTGTAACCTCATACTACCTCAGCCAATGGGGAAAGAGGAGGGCTGTAGCGGCCGGTGAGAGGGATGAATAAAAGGAGATATTTTGGATTAAAACTTTGGAGAGAACCAAGCTTTGAGCTTCTCTCCCCGCTTATTGCAATAAATGAAACAAAAGGCCTTCACTGTGTCTTGGCTGGTTATTGGTCAGGCGAGCTTGCCTCTGGTCACGAAGGAAAGTAGCCAGGAGCACATACCAAGCACATCTGGAAAATATACATTATTAAGAAAACTCACACTTCCCCCTCGTCCTCAGCACTAGATTCTTATGATTCCCAGCTCCGAGTTTTGCACGCCTCACGCTTTTAAAAGTCCTGCCTTCTTTCCTACCCCCACCCCCCCACCCCTTCTTCCTCTAATCTAGATATCCCCCAAACCACGATCCGGAACACATTCAAAACCAGTCTTACCTCTTGCAACGGGGCCTTTTTCCGCGCTCCCGACATGCAACTCACACAGGAAAAGGGGCCGACGCCGAGAGGTGGAGTGTGCCGAGCGCTTCCTGCTCGTCGGGAGGGCCGGCTGGCGTGGAGGTGGCGCCGCGGTTCTTCTCCTCGTCTCCTCTGTTGAAGGTGAGACCTTTGGATCGGAACATGCAAGCGCCTTGCAGCACCCGGGTTGGGGAAACCGGAGGAGCCGCGCTGCCTTCGCGCGGGGTCTGGGGAGGGGCGGGTTGGCATGTTGAAAGCGCCGCCCCGTCTAAGAATAAAGCGCTGGAGGGGCTTCTCCCGACCTGGGCTTCATCCCGGGGTCTCCGGAGAAGCAGCGTGAGAAAGTATAGGGAGATCTAGAAGCCGTGTGGATTTCTTTACTGGGTTGGTAAATCGCTCCAATCCTAGGAAATTCCGAGCAGTGTAGATACCCGCTGCAGCACTCCATTGAAAAAGAAAGCAGATAAAGATATATGATTCCCAAATTACACCAAGTAGGCACATTATTTGAGGGCTGCCACAAAGAAGAGGGAGTCAAATTATTCTCCAGAGGGCAGGACAAGAAACAATGGTTGGAAACTGTTCAAAGAGGGAAGCAATCTGGAATGAAGGAGAAACTTCCTGACAGTAAGGACAATTAATCAGTGGAACAACTTGCCTTCAGAAATCGTGGGCGCTCCATCACTGGAGGTTTTTAAGAGGAGACTGGACATTCTCTTGTCTGAGATGGTATAGGTGCTCCTGCTTGAACGGGGGGGGGGGGGAAGCTGAACTAGAAGACCTCCAAGGTCCCTTCCAGCTCTATTCTATTCTAATTAGCAGCAATACATATAGAGACTTTTCCCCACTGGAAATCTCTGTCCTCCTACCTCTGTCTGTTGTGCACGTATGTATGTACAGTATGTACTGTACATACATGTACAGTATGTATGTATCTTTTTTCTATTTTTATTATTTCTACATTGTCTTTCTATCCTTATCTATTTCTGCCTATTGTCTAATATCTATCTCTGGCTAGATAGAGATCTAATCATGTATTCTCCTTTTTGTCATCCATTCATGCCTAAATCCATCTATCTTAAAAGGTATATATAGCTTCTGATATTGTAACCACAACCCTTAATTAGGAACGAATTAACCTATCCATTCCCCCGTTATGGCTGTATCGAGTGGAGCATGGTGCAAAAAGAATTATATTAAGAAATTAGGAAAGTGGTATTCTTCAAGAGGCGAAGAAAGGGTTGTGATCTGTTTTGGAAAAGGCAATATTTTTTACTAATCAAAGGGTGCAGCAGTATGTTTCTACGGCAGATACTCTGTGATATCTTATAATATTTTGTATTGTTCAGATTATATTAGCAAATTTATTGGTAATCCAGTATATTAGAGGGTTTTTTTCTTTTCTTTTCCTTCTTAGTATGTATTTTAATTCATTCTTTTGATTTTTTTTGTAATTTTCTTTTTAAAGATGAAGTATTGCTTTGTTACAATAAATAAATAAAAGTTAGTCTATCAAGTCCTGAAGACACGCCAAGAGTCAGGTCTTAATAGCTTTTCAAAGACATGAGCATGTGGCTATTCTGGCATTAATTTTTTACATAGCATTAGATCAGTGTTTTTCAACCTCAGCAACTTTAAGATGTGTGGGTTTCTATTCTCAGAATTCCCCAACCTGTTGATGTTCACACAAAATACTGAGTTTGAAAAACACTGAGCAAGACCATTTCCAAGCTATTGAACTGATACTTCATGGGTGATTTGGTGACATCTAGAGCAGTGGTTCTCAACCTTTTTAATGCCGTGACCCCCAACAGGTCGTAAGTCGAGGACTACTCAACCGGTCGTAGGTCGAGGACTACTCAACTGGTGCAACACCGTTTGCAGAATGGGACTTTTGGCGGGCTCAGCAGGGCAGAGACAGCCTGGACAATTCCTATTGGCTTTTGAAAGCCAATAGAATTAGACTCTATTCAAGAGAGTCTATTCTATTGGCTTTCAAAAGCCAATAGAATAAGAGGGAGTAGCACAGCTAAGGAAAAGGGGGAAAAAATGGCGGGCTGCGTTGTTTGGCGACCCCTGTGAAATGGTCATTCGACCCCAGATGGGGTCCCGACACACAGGTTGAGAACCACTGATCTAGAGTCATGTCATTTAAAACAGAGAAATCTGCAAACAGATCCTTCATTCTGCTTCTCTTCCTGAGGGGGAAAAAAAAACAACAACCAGAAATTGGCAGGAATCTTTTGCATGCAAATTGTAGCTTGTGTTTTCTAGACTCCCTCTTTTAAAATTAAAACTTTTCTCCTCATCTGTTGAAAGTTTCACTTGCCATATTGCATCTGGAAGCAAAACCACCAGAAGAACACTCAGGCAGCAATACATTTGCTATTTATTGGGGCATTTTCTTTATGGGGAATTAGCCTAGAAAAAAAGTTAAGTCTCTCAAGACGTTGTAAATGGTTCCCTCTTATTAATACTGTGTCAAATTTCCCATATAGGTGGTCCTTAACTTGCAACCATAATCAGGACCAGAATTTCCATTGCTATGCAAGGTAGTTGTTACATGAGTGGTGTCCAATTTTATGGCCTTTTTGCCATGGTTGTTAAGTGAATCACTGCAGTTGTTAAATGAATCATGTGGTTGTTAAGCAACACTGACTTCCCTCATTGATTTTGCTCATCAGAAGTTGACTGACAAAAGTTTTGCAAATGATGATCGCATGATCCCAGGATCCTGCAACAATCACAAATATATGCTGGTTGCAAACCGCCTAAATTTTAATCATGAGGGTGCTATAGTGATTATCACTGTGTCAAGAATGAAACTTTGGCAGCTACGTGCCTCTTCGTGTCAACTTGCCAATAGAGTAAAGGGGGGAACGGGTTGCTTTAGAATGGGCTAGATCAGGGGTAGGCAACTGGCTCTTTTATGACTCGTGGACTTCAACTCCCAGAATTCCTGAGCCAGCATAGCTGACTCAGAAATTCTGAGAGTTGAAGTCCACGAGTTATAAAAGACAAGGTTGCCTACTCCTGGGTTAGATGGAGAAACGAAATCTCTACAATCCAACTGAACACCGTAAGAGCATGAAACCTTTCCAAGGACACTGCAGCAGGTGTGAAGAGGAAGCGGATGGTTCCTATAACAAAGTGAAATTGTTTACATGGACTACATGAGAGGGTGGGGGTTTGTCTGGAGAAATTATTGTTTAATTCTATGAACTGGTGTCTGGGAACCTCAGAGTTAGTTTTGCTTTGACATTACCATTCCGTGTATTCAAAATAAACAGTAAGATTTTTCGAAATGGAATGAACCTGGGGTTTTATTTGGATAATAATAAAGTTGGAAGGGACCTTGGAAGTCATCTAATCCAACCCCCTGCTCAGGTAGGAAACCCTATACCATTTCAGACAAATTCTCAAACTGGATATTGACACACTGTGAGGACCAGTCGAAATCACATTTTCCCCTACCATTGTAACTTTAAATGGTCATTAAACAAATGGTTGTAAGCTGAGTTGTATAGGAACAGGTGATCCTAAATATTACACCACAGATTTCTGGGTGCTTGCTTTAATTCACAGACTTTCCTGGAAAATGTGGCTTTGCGCTTATCCCAGTGCTAGTTCCGTTCACAGTGAGCATATTGTGTTACTGAATTCACCAGATGTTTTTTTTCTTCCAACTGTCACAGCCTCTGCAGAAAAATGTCCCGGTGATGAAGGGCAGCTGTCATGACGGAGTCAGTGATGAAACTCCAGAGAGTGCAGCTAAAATGCAAGAACCTTCACGAATACCTGCGAGGTCTTAGCCCTGGGATTCTGGATCGGCTGTATAATCATCCTGCCACTTGTCTTGCTGTCCTGCGGTAAGGGAGAATCTCGTATGTCCTCAAGTATTAGAACAGTGGTTCTCAACCTGTGGGTCAGGACCCCATTTGGGGTCGAACGACCATTTCACGGGGGTCGCCAAACAAGGCTGTCCGCCATTTTTTCCCCTTTGGCCACGCCCCTGGCACCCGGTGATGTATAAGTGGTTGGGGGGTCACCACAACATGGGGAACTGTATTATGGGGTCGCGGCATTAGAAAGGTTGAGAACCACTGTATTAGAATTTTGGCCAGCTGGGGATCAGATTGGAGATTAAAAATCCAAATGCATTAACTTTATGTATTTGAAGCCACATTTCCTAGGCAATAACTGGTTCCTGGTTCCTGATGTTGGACCCAGGGTTTTTGCCAAATAGGCTGTCAGACCTGCCACCACTTAAACCTCTAAATAGAAACGATCCTTGGCTCCATTTGTTGAGAAAAGTAGTGTTAATAGAAGCCACGTGCACTGCAGTAATGCATAGCCAGAACTGAGAATCATATGCCAAAATCATTTAAGTTCAACTTTTCCCTCCCTTAGCTACCTTCCATTGTCTACCCTCCCCCACATACACACACAAGTAGTCAGGTTCAGGCAGGATGTTTTCGTAACAACCAGTCCAAGCTCAGGATGGTATGCAGCTGGTATGCCGGGTGAACTTGAAGCAGCCTCTCAAAGAGATCTACATTCAGTTTCATTTCCCCCCTTGCCTTCTCCCTTCCCCTTAGTTCAGGGGTGTTAAACTCAATTTCATTGAGGGCAGCATCAGCACTGCTGTTGTCCTCAGGGGGCCAGGTGGGTGTGGCCAGGGTGGGTGTGGCCTACTGCGTGGGCATGGCTGGAGTAGGTGTGGCCTACTGCATGGGCATGGCTAGCTCTACATCGTTCGCGTCAAGGGTGCCTGTGGGGGCCTGGGCAGGAGTGGGACAGATCTGAAGGTCTCTGGCTGAAGGGGGTGGGACCAGGGGCAAACGCCAAGGCATGGTCCACTGGAGGAGTCTGCTGAAACCCTTCCCCCGGAGCCCATCAAGCCAGATATGTGAAGTAGGTGAGGGCCATTTGTTGGCCACTTCCAGGCGATGGTGCATTTCTTCATTCCTCACAAAGGGTGACACCTCCCCAGCATGCACCCAGGGGACGGGGCCGATACAGCAGGGGCTGGTTCCTCACTGTTTCCAGATGGCCTTGTGGAGCTAAGACTGAATGTGTTTCAGCATAGATGGCCATCACAAAATTGTACATTGGCTCCCGGACGGCCTGAGCCGGGGCCAAGGCAGTGGGGTCCATTCCCTCACTGTTTCCAGAATGGCTTCGCGGGCCACATGAAACCACATCGCGGGCCACATCCGGCCCCTGGACCTTGTGTTTGATATCTGCCTTAGTACATGGCAGTCTGTCACTATAGCCCAGGTGGCGCAGCAGTTAGAGTGCAGTACTGCAGGCCACTTTAGCTGACTGTGTTCAGCAGGTCAGCGGTTCAAATCTCACCGGCTCAAGATTGACTCAGCCTTCCATCCTTCTGGGGTAGGTAAAATGAGGACCCAGATTGTTGGGGGCAATGTAAATATATATATACATTGCTTACTGGTGTACACCGCTTAGAGAGTGCTTGCACTTAAAAGCGGTATATAAGTCTCATAAATAAATAAATAAATAAATAGGCAACCTTGGCTCTTTTATGACTCATGGACTTCAACTCCCAGAATTCCTGAGCCAGCCATGCTGAGGGGAAAGGGAGAGGTTTCCAAGCTGAGTCATGCTGGCTCAGGAATTCTGGGAGTTGAAGTCCACGAGTCATAAAAGAGCCAAGGTTGCCTACCCCTGCTATAGCTGAAGCACAAGCAAGCATTAAGGTGGCAGCTGACATAGACTTTGGCAGACCTTGCCTGGCTATGAAAAAAAAGCAACTTGTTTGTGGCACTGACCTTACATTCTTCTCTTCTCAGGGAGCTGCCTGGGTTGGCCAAAAATTATGTCATGCGGATGCTTTTTCTGGAACAGCCTCTTCGTCAAGCAGCCATGGTCCTGTGGGTGAAGAAGGAATATGTCAAGTAAGTTTGTCTAGCAAAGTTTTTTTAAAAATATGATTATTGCTCAAATGAACATTGTAAGATTAAATGTATACTTTGCATGGAGACATTCCGTAAGTAGCAACATGGCTGGCTGGTATAAATAAAGCTCATTTTCATTTATTTAATAAACTTCTTCACCGCCTTATTTACCATGACAACTCGAGACATCTAACATATTAGGATTAAAATAAGAAAAAAAAAACCCTCAAAAGCCACAACAGTAGCAACATACTAATAGAAGAGAATATTTGTAAGTCAGGGTTGACCTCTGGAGTCCTTGGTGCTCTCTGAGCTTGGTTGCTTTCTTGCAGACGTTTCATTACCCAACTAGATAATATCATCAGTGCTAGAAAGGAGTGGGATTTGCTGTCTGTTTATATACAGTCAGTGTTTATAGACCTATCAGTGTCGGTGGGAGTGTTGTTTTCTTCTTGGTAGATTAAGGCGCTACCGTAATTACTCTTAGTTGTCTTAATCTTAATTAACTACCTTAATTAAGGAACTACACTTCCCAAATTCATGATGGGCTCTGTTTCAGGGAACAAGAGGAGAGCTCGGATATCTTGCTGGGACTGCGCCTTTGGCACACACAGCTGCTTCCAGGGGGCCTCGAAGGGATCGTCTTGAACCCCATCTTCAAGGAAAATCTGCGCATCGCTCTCTTGGGAGGGTGAGTGAAGGCCGTCCAGATTCTTAAGATTGGAGAGTGGAGGCAGAGGCTCATAGAAATTACTGCACTGATGAAGATGGAGATGGTTTCAGACTTCTGAAAAGGGTGTATTTTGGGACCCTCCCACTTCACAGACGGGGAGCAAACTAGCTACTATGGCAGTGGTGGCGATCCTATGGCAAGCGTGCCAGAGGCGGCACTCAGAGGCCTCTCTGTTGGCACATGTGCCACTGTCACCAGCAGCAGGTCCATTAGGCTGCCACCGCCACCCGGAGCAGGAGCCCCGCCCAGCACAAAGGAGGCAAAGTGGCTGACTAGCAAGCTTGAGTAGAGGTGGTAGAGTAGAGGTCACCAACCATTGTCGATTGGTGGAGTGGAAGAAAAGGGAGGGGGAAGCATTTTACAAGGGTGCATGCGCGCACAGGGCCATAAGCATGCACACACTGCAAATGGGGCAGGGCTAGGGCCTGTGTGATACTCACTAGCCCTGCCCCGTTCTTGCATGGTGCAGTGCCTTGTATTTGCACCCCGTGGTGCCGTGGCGACCGTTTTTGCACCTTGCAGCACGGTGGCCCATTTTGTGCCCCCGGGTTTTCCGTGCCAGAGGCGGCACTCAGAGGCGCCTTCCTGCCCCCCCCCTCCAGGGCACCACAATGCTGATGTGGCCCTGGCACTTTGCGATAAACAAGTGGGCTTTGGGTTGCGGTTTGGGCACTCGGTCTCTAAAAGGTTCGCCATCACTGTATTATGGGGTCAGATGTCTATAAGAGATTCTCAGTCATCCAGGTCATGGTTGTCCCGAAGCTGCTTTTCCAAAAGGCAATTGGACGTTCTTGGTTTGTTTACTTGAAAACATTTCGCTTCTCATCCAAGAAGAGCTGAACTGAAGAAGCTTCTTGGATGAAAAGCAAAATGTCTTGAAGGAAAATAAAAATTTCCAGTTGCCTTTCAGAAAAGCACCTTTGGGATAATGGGTCAAGTGCAAATGTGGGTCAAATTTTGTGCCTCTTTTTATATGATCCAGCAAAAGGACTTGAAAATTATGCTTTGGAAAGATTTGCCTTCCTGCTGTGCATAGGTATGGTTTTCACGGTCACTTTAAGCCGTAGTGTAGTGTGAATGTTCATGCTAGCACACACATTTTATTTATATTTCGCCCAACCCAAAGATTCTAGGTGGTATAGAAAGAAAACTATATAAGATGCATCTAGCAACAATACATAATTAAAGCAGCATTAAACAATAACTAAAGAAAAGGTAACAAAAATGATCACAACCTAACAGTGATTGGGATTTGCACACTATGTGTTTCCTGTTGCTTCCTCGTGGCCATGGAGAGCAAAACAAACCATTAAAATCAATGTAATCTGAGGGAATCTTCAAAGCATGCAGCATTATTGGTGTCATGGTTCTGACAGATGAAACTCTTCAAAGAACTTCGAGGCATTGTTTACCTTAAAGAATCTTTATTCGAATAGCATAGCATCAGCACGTACATAGCAAAGTCAAAATCTGAATTCCACTCCCTTGAGCACATAGTATCCAGCACATATCCCTCCTCTAATTAACAGATAAATCGCATTCTCCAATTAGTTTGAAATGCAGGCTTTGCCTCCTATTCTCCAACCCACCATTTCAAAAAACCTTAGTTCTCACACTATTACAATATTGTTATGTTTAACTAACTCCCATATACATTCCTTCTCCTCCCCCCCCCCAGTATCATCTAATTCCAATTCTAATTCTAAGAGTAAAACATAAGAAGGAAAATGGCTGCATCTCCATCTGTTGTCAAAGCAAGAACATCCGATGTTAGCAGCGTTGACAATTGGGCTATGTAGTACAGAATATTTTGAAGAGCTTCAACCAACAATATTTGGTGGTTAGGTGCTACTATTTCCTTCAGAAATCAGGGAAGGAGTTAACTTTTGCACCCGGTATCTACAAAAGACCCATTGTGATCTAGATGAAGAATCCTTACACATACCGTATTTTCCGGCGTATTAGACGACCCGGCGTATAAGACGACCCCCGACTTCAGAGCCGATTTGAATGCTTTAGAAAGTCATCTTATATGCCAGAAAATACGGTACTCTTGTGTCATGGATGAGGGCATTGCTAGTGCTATCCTACTTTCTCATAATAATGGAGTTTCTTGCTTCTCAATTCTGTGTCCACAGAGGTAAAGCCTGGTCTGATGATACTAGCCAACTGGGCCCAGATAAGCATGCCCGAGATGTCCCATCCTTGGATAAGTATGCAGAAGAAAGGTGGGAGGTGAGCATTTTGCCTTCTCTCAGTAGCCTGATTCATTATGTGCTGCATTACAGGTAGTCCTTGACTTACAGCCTTAAAGTCTTTTGTTTAGTGACTATTCAAAGTTACTGACGCACCTGCCCCAACGTGACTTTTTAGGAAAGAAAGACTCTCGGCTCCATTCATAAGGAAAAGTATACTTTTACTAAAAGCCAAGTGGATTACAGCAAAGCAGAGCCAGAACTGAGATTTAGTTGCTAAAGTTCCCCCATTAACTTTTCCTCCATCTTGTTTCTCCCCTTGCAAGTCCTCCATTGTCCAATTAGGTTCGAATAAAGTGTTTTGGGAATGGTCTCTACTGTAGCGGGTTAGTTGGTGAGACGTTCCATTTCATTCCCAGGCTTTGACCTTGAGATGGGGTCTCTGGATGAGCGGTCGGTGTTCCCACACACACATAGCTCGTCCATCCGTCCGTCCCCCGCCACCCCCCATGGCAGGCTGGCAGCAAGCAAGGTGAAGCTGAGGGAAATGAGGGCAGATCTGACAGTTACAACAAAAAAAGTGACTTACCCACAGCCCTCACACAACTGTTGCAGCATCCTCACAGTCATGTGATCAAAATTTGGACACTTAGTAACTGGCATGTATTTCGGATGGTTGATCCCAGGGTCATATGATTGCCATTTGTGATCTCTACAGGTGGTCTCCAAGAAGCAGAGTGAACGGGGAGAAGCCAGAGTTGCTTAACAACTTAGCTGTAGAGATATGCTTAATAACTATGGCAAAAAGATCATAAAATTGGGCATGACTCACTTAACAACCATCTGGCTTAGCAATAGTGATTCTGATGCCAATTGTGGTCATAAGTCAAGGACTACCTTAAAAAGACTGACTTCGTTGCAGTGCTCTCCTACCGCTTGCCAGTAAAGTCAACCAAGACTGCTGCTTCCTCTCCTTCCTTGCCTGGGTCTAGTTCAGGGGTAGGCAACCTTGGCTCTTTTATGACTCATGGACTTCAACTCCCAGAATTCCTGAGCCAGCTGTGCTGGCTCAGGAATTCTGGGAGTTGAAGTCCCTGAGTCATAAAAGAGCCAAGGTTGCCTACCCCTGGTCTAGTTCAAAAGCCTTCCTTTTGGGTAAAATAGCAGATTAATCCTGCAGAAAGAAGATCTTCTGATATGCTTTGGTTAACATTGTTCTTAGCACTTTAAATTTTCTTGGAACCTGAGAATTTAAAATGGTGTGTTTCCACCATTATGTTTCCTTTACACCAGGGGATCCATGTTTCTCTCTCAATTCCGTACTAACTCTCCCTTTACCTTATGTGGTCCGTATGGTCTTTTAGTAGCATTTGCAGTGGCCTATTACTTTATACTTCATATAATTTCAACTGAGAGTAGTTGCCGTTAAAAACCAGGATCCCTCAATTGGGTCTGTCCTAGAATTCTGCCCATCAAAGAAATACACGCAGTAATGATGAATGGAGTTACAACCATTCGTAGAATCTCCTCTGACCAGGTGGCCTTTGCATATTTATTTATGAGACTTATATACCGCTTTAAGTGCAAGCACTCTCTAAGCGGTGTACACCAGTAAGCAATGTATATATATATATATTTACATTGCCCCCAACAATCTGGGTCCTCATTTTACCTACCCCGGAAGGATGGAAGGCTGAGTCAACCTTGAGCCGGTGAGATTTGAACCGCTGACCTGCTGAACACAGTCAGCTAAAGGGGCCTGCAGTACTGCACTCTAACTGCTGCGCCACCTCGGCTCTTACATATGGTGCATAGCCCACAATGAACTGACTTTACCAAACACCATTGTGGACATAGTTCCACAGGCATCGCAATTCTCTTCTCTTTCTCTGCACTGTCCCATTTAGGTCATCCTGCATTTCATGGTAGGCTCTCCTAGTGCAGCGGTGAGTCAGGACCTGGCTCAGCTGCTGATTGAAGCTGGCCTGATGAAGAGGTAAGTGTCACAGAGAGAAAGAGTTGTTGTTGTTAATTGCGAAGTTGTATCTGACCCATCGCGACCCCATGCACAACGTTCCTCCAGGTCTTCCTGTCCTCTACCATCTTCTGGAGTCCATTTATGTTCACACCTACTGCTTCAGTGACTCCATCCAGCCATCTCATTCTCTGTCGTCCCCTTCTTAAAAAAAAGCCCAGTGTCTGTTTTAAGAACAGTTGAGAATCCTCAGATTTGATATTAGGAGAAAAGGACCTCTGTGCAGAAAGACAGGGGTTGTATTCAGACAATATCTTTTCCCTCTGATCATGATATACTGCAGAGGTTCTAACTATGGGTTAGGACAGTGGTGGCGAACCTATGGCACGTGTGCCAGAAGCGGCACTCGGAGCCCTCTCTGTGGGCAGGTGCGCCGTTGCCCCAGCCCCACCTCCCCCCACAGCCCCCTCCTCACCAGCAGCCTGCCCGGAGGAGAGGCTCCCCCAGGCGCAGCCCACGCAGAGCAGCACAGCCAAGCACATGGCAGCAGGGGCAAGACGCCGCCCTCGCGCCCCATCATGTGCAGATGATGCTGCGAGATGCAGGCAGAGGGCTGGCCGCCATGGAACTGCAAGGCAGCCTGGGGCGATCTGTGGTGAGTGGCCCTGCGGGCAGGTGGAGCAGGGGGCAAAGCGAGGCCGAGCCAGGGAGCAGCCCGGTTTTTGGGCACTCGGTCTCTAAAAGGTTCGCCATCACTGGGTTAGGACCTTCCTAGGGAGTGGTCTTGAGCAACTGATGAGTAGGTATCCTTTTTTTAAAAAAAAAAAAATCCTGGTCAGGCTTGACTAGATCAGTGGTTCTCAACCTTTTTAATGCCGTGACCCCCAACCAGTTGTAAGTCGAGGACTACTCAACCGGTCGTAAGTCGAGGACTACTCAACTAGTGAAGCACCGTTTGCAAAATGGGACTTTTGGCGGGCTCCGCAGGGCAGAGACAGCCTGGACAATTCCTCTTGGCTTTTGAAAGCCAATAGAATTAGACTCTATTCAAGAGAGTCTATTCTATTGGCTTTCAAAAGCCAATAGAATAAAAGGGAGTAGCACAGCTAAGGAAAAGGGGGGAAAAATGGCGGACTGCGTTGTTTGCCGACCCCCGTGAAATGGTCGTTCGACCGCAAATGGGGTCCCAACCCACAGGTTGAGAACCACTGGACTAGATCAAGGAACTCCAAACTTGGCAACTTTAAGACTTGTAGATTTCAAGTCAGCTATAAATTTGGAGACCCCTGGTCTATATAAAGTGAGGAGACTGATATTTTGCATGCAGAGCGCAAGAATCATCATAACGTTTAGATTTTAAAATTTTAAATGTCAGATTTAAAAAAATTGGTATATTTATTTCTTGCCCAGCCAGATTTCCAATCATTTCTTTTTTTCAACAGCCATTGTGGAAGGTTATAGTACTACAGAAATGGAGTATACACAAATATTGAGTACATTTTTGGGGGAGAGGTGGAGTTTGGACAACATACTGAGTCATAAATTCATTGCCCAGGTTAACTTTGCACACAATTGTAGGCTTATGTAGGATGAGGCAATTGGTGTGTTACATTGCCATAACTCATATCCCTGTGAACAAGGGATGGCGAAACTCCTACAAAGGGCTGGGTGACTGGTACCAGGGAAAGATGGGAGGCACAGTAATTAGTATGGACACACACACACACACACACACACATACACCAGTGGAATGGATGGAAACTAATCAAGGAGAGACCCAAACTAGAAACAAGAAGAAATTTCCTGACAGTTAGAACAATTAATCAGTGGAATGGCTGATCAGTGAACACCCTCCAGAAGTTGTGGGTACTCCAACACTGGAGGTTTTCAAGAAGAGATTGGACAACCATTTGTCTGAAATGGTCTAGGGCAGCGTTTCTCAGCCTGTGGGTCGCGACCCCTTTGGGGATCGAACGACCCTTTCACAGGGGTCGCCTAAGACCATTGGAAAACACATATTTCCGATGGTCTTAGGAACCAAGACATCGCTCCTCTATCCACTCCGCACGGCTTCGAGCTGGAGGCTGTTGCAGCGCCGGATTCGTTTCCGTCGAGCATCTCCTAAGGCAGTGGTTCTCAACCTATGGGTCGGGACCCCATTTGGGGTCGAACAATCATTTCACGGGGGTCGCCAAACAAGGCTGTCCGCCATTTTCCCCCTTTTCTTTGGCCACGCCCCTGGCACCTGGTGATGTATAAGTGGTTGGGGGTCACCACAACATGGGGAACTGTATTATGGGGTTGCGGCATTAGAAAGGTTGAGAACCACTGTCCTAAGGGAAGCTGTGTTGCTTCGCGGCCCTTTCCGCGGAGGAAGCTGAACTAAGCTCTGCCAGCATTGTTGCCCTTTTGGCTCTCTCTCTCCCCCTCTCCCTGCCTGGGTGCTTCTCCAACCAGGCTGGGCAGAGCCGGCAGAGCGGCCTTCCTGCCCCCCCCTCCCCGGCCAGCTGGAGCTGGGCAGGCTGGCGACCTTTGGAAGTGAGGCGAGAACAGGCGAGGCACGCTGAGCCCCGGGTGCGGCGGGTGAGTGGGCGGTGTCAGTGTGCGCTTGGAGAGCCCTTAGGGTGGGGTTAACCACAACATGAACTGTATTAAAGGGTCGCAGCATTAGGAAGGTTGAGAGCCACTGGTCTAGGGTCTCCCGCTTGAGCAGGAAGTTGGACTAGAAGACCGCCAAGGTCCTTATTTTGTCAGACATGAACACTCAGATAATGGCAGGATACATAGCCTATCAGTCCCCTGTAGCCTCAGGGAACAGTAGCCACCATCACTGTGAACCATGTGCAACTTGGGTACAACTTTGCAAAACCAAGAACAAATTTTTTCTTTTCTGGATTTTTTTCTTGAGTTACTCTTCTTCTTCCCCCCAGTAGTGAGCCTGGGGAACCTCCCTGCATCACATCCTCTGGCTTCCAGTTCCTGTTGCTGGATACTTCATCGCAGCTGTGGTACTTCATGCTCCAGTATCTCCAGTCAGCAGAGGTGAGGAGAAACGGTGCCATCTCAGCTCTGGTTATTCTACCCTTTTCTTGTTTCTGCTTCTAATTCCTTTCCCCACCCCCCCCCACCCCTTTTTTTTTTGCATCACTCTACAGACCAGGGGCATGGACTTGGTGGAGATTCTTTCCTTTCTCTTTCAGCTCAGCTTCTCCACACTTGGCAAGGTGAGAAGGGTAGAAGAAGGAACCTCTCTCTTATCTACTGTATGAGCAACGTTCGTTGGTGAGAAGTTGGGTTATATATTAAGTCAATAGGCAAGTAGAGTAATTATTGCCAATGTGGTGTTCTGCAGAAGTTTAGGACACTCTATAAAAGGAAGAAAAAAGATATAGGAAGAGAAAAGTCCCATAATTAGACCATCTAAGAACAGTACCAGCTTGGGATCATCTCTCTGTTCATTCCACCCATCTTGTTTACAATATCCCAACTTTATTGTCATTGTTTAACATTAATCTCTTGATTCATTTATATGTGTCCCTCTGATCAATTTGCTGACCTTTGCAATATCCTAGACCAGGGGTAGGCAACCTTGGCTCTTTTATGACTCATGGACTTCAACTCCCAGAATTCCTGAGCCAGCATGGCTCAGCTTGGAAACCTCTCCCTTTCCCCTCAGCATGGCTGGCTCAGGAATTCTGGGAGTTGAAGTCCACGAGTAATGAAAGAGTCCAGGTGGCCTAGCCGTGTACTAATAGAATATGAGATATTTCAATTGCAACTGCATCATTGCTATCTATGGAGGCTTCGTAGCCTTTTGCAATGCCTTCAGAATGTCTTGGGGGCAGAGGTGTTCCCTTTCCATTTATAAAGCTCTTTCCAGTGACTTTCAAGAGACCATTTTTTACAACTAGTCATGTCAACAAAACCACTTGTGTTTCTTATCTATTTATCAGTGATGGGCAAAGTCGTCTATAGAACAGAAGAATGGGGTTAATCTTGAATATGAGGACTGGCAGTCTCCATTTGCAGTAGCTTAAGTAGACTTAAAAGAGACTTGGTGTCAAGTCCCTGCTTGATCACCAAAGCACTGGATCACTTTGAGCCAGTCATTGAAGCATAGACTGACCCGCATATTACAGTGTTTTTTTTGTGTGGGTAACGTTGGAGGAAACTCCCTTGTTAGGCAAAAGCTTAAGGAGAAAAATTTGGAAATGAATTTAGTGATGAAGAAAGCAGAGGTTATGAATGGAGTAAAAAATCTGGCTTTGCTAATCATCATGAATGAAAGGACTGCTGTGCACAAGGTTGGTTCATGAAACTAACCCTATAGCTGCAGTTAGGGGGTAACTGCTCCTTGAATTAACCCTAATTAAAGTTTCACATCTAGATTATATTACATTACTAAGCTAAACAATAACCTTTGAGGGGGTGAAGCTGAAAGGCACAGGGTCTTGCAAGCATAGAACCTAGAAAATTGGAGCAATTCCTGACAGTGAGAACAATTAACCAGTGGAACAACCTGCCTCCAGAAGCGGGGAATGCTCCAACACTGGAAGTTTTTAAGAAGAGACTGGACAGCCATTTGTCTGAAATGGTATAGGGTTTCCTGCCTGAGCAGGGGGCTGGACTAGATGACCTCCAAGGTCCCTTCCAACTTTATTATTATTATTATCAATCATCGCACAGTCACCCAGATGTTCAGATTGGATTACTATTATTATTATTATCGATCATCGCACAGTCAGCCAGATGTTCAGACTGGATTTGGCATTTTGTCTACCTATCGAGTCCTTACCCAGGATGATGATTATTATTATTATTATTATTATTATTATTATTAAGTGGCTGAAAATAGGCATTTATTCAGTGCAGAAATAGTGCCTTTGCTAAATGCTCAATTTAAATTATGACATTACAAGCATATTCTAATTGCTCAGAAAACAAAGCATGGCTGATATCTGCCCAGACATGTGTTGGCTTATATGCATTCATCCTTTAATAAGTGCAAGCTCAATAGTTGACTCTTAACAGGTAAATCAGCAGAAGAATTCTTGCAGTGCCTCCCAATGTGATCTGGTTGACTATTCAGAGCAATTCACCTACTGGTCCTTAAGCACTAATTGATCAAGATGTTCCTATAATGTACTTGCCTGGGAACAAATTCTTTTCCAATTTCTTTGTTCTCAGGATTATTCTGTGGAAGGAATGAGTGATTCTCTTCTGAATTTCCTTCAGCATCTCCGGGAATTTGGCCTGGTGTTTCAAAGAAAGGTATAAAACAGTAGGGGAATTATATGAGGAGTTGAACCAAAGTTTTTAAAAAAGACAAATTGTCTTTTTTATATTAGATATTAGAGCAGTGGTGGAGAACCTATGGCACGCGTGCCAGAGGCGGTACTCGGAGCCCTATCTGTGGGCACACGTGCCGTTGCCCCAGCGTCGCCTCCCCCCACAACCCCCCTCTCACCACCAGCCCCCCTGGAGGAGAGTCACCCCCAAGCGTGGCCCACACGGAGCAGTGCAGCCAAGGACATGGCAGCCAGGCAGTGTAGACAAGACTCTGCCCTCATGCCTGTCAATTGTCCTTTCCACCTCCGACGTCTAGCTGGCCGTTGAGATTCCCCGGTGCTCGGCAATAAGGGGGAGGCAGCCACGGTGGGGGGCGGCCTCTCCGACACCCAGCTGGTCTTCAGGATTCGGGCGGCACACAGGGGTCAGCTGTGCCGGCGCATGGATGTCGGCTGGCCGCCAGCTATTCCGTTCCTCCCGCCACCGGTTCATGTCGAGCCCAGGGGCTTGACAACGCCCCATCATGCACAGTTGATGCTGTGGACCGCGGGCAGAGGGTATGGCCGCCATGGCACTGCTGGGCTGCCTGAGCGATCTGCGGTGAGCCCTGGAGGCGGTGAGTGGCTCTGCGGGCAGGTGGTATGGGGAGGGCAGGGAGGAGCAGGGGCGGGGCCAGTTTTGGGGCACTTGGTCTCTAAAAGGTTTGCCATCACTGTATTACAGTGTTTCCCAAACTTGACAATTTTAAGGCATGTGGACTTCAACTCCCAGAATTCCACAGCCAGCGTTGCTGGCTGTGGAATTCTGGGAGTTGAAGTCCTCATGCCTTAAAATTGTCAAGTTTGGGAAACACTGCTGTATTAGAACATTTAGGAATTTCTTCAAGAATCTGGAGTTTGTGAACTGAAATTGTAGATTTTTTTTCTTCTGAAAGATGTACTGTTAGGCAACTCTGAACTTGCCAGAAACTTGTTACTAATGTCTTTTCTTCTTTCTTTACAGAGAAAATCCAGGCGTTACTATCCCACCCGCTTAGCTATTAATCTTTCCTCCGGCATCTCAGGTACCACCGTGGACACCCATAATCAAGGCTTCATCGTGGTGGAGACAAACTACAGGATCTATGCATACACAGGTCTGATGTAGGCTCATCCCTCTTCTAATTCAGAATTGGTAATCGGTGCTTCCAACCCATTTGAAAAAAAATTCTCTTGGCTGTATAACACAGGGCTGAGCTTTTGCTTTACAGACTGAGGGAAAAGACTATTTAGCCACAATCACTTTCTTCATGTGACATAGGACAATATTTCTTAAATTGTCTGCTATCCTGATATAATTCAACTTCTGAAAGAAAGCGTGGGGACCACCCCATTAAATACACTCCATTAAATACATTAAACAGGGGAGATTCCATTATTTGAAAATACTTACTTTCCATTCCTCTGTTTTAAAAGGCATCTTTTAGATTAAACTTTGAGCCAAAATATGTAATCCAAAATTAAGTATTAATTTGCCCCCTTGGGCAGGGGGGAGGGGCAATACTGGCTGAGGAATTCTGGGGTTTATAGCCCAGGGGTCTGCAAACTTGGCCCTTTTATGACTTGTGGACTTCAACTCCCAGAATTCCTCAGCCAGCATGGCTGGCTGAGGAATTCTGGGAATGGAAGTCTACAAGTCATAAAAGGCCCAAATTTGAAGACCCTTGGTATAGCCCATACAATAAAATGGCCAAAACTGAGAAACACTGAACTATTTAAAGGACACCAGGCTGGGGACAGCTGCTCATCTATTATAAAGCAGTGTTTCTGAAGCTCAGCCATTTTAAGGTGTGTGGACTTCGACTCTCAGAGTTCCTCAGCCAAGCACACTGGCGGGGAATTCTGGGGGTTTTTTTAGTCCACACACCTTAAAGTGGCTGAGCTTGAGAAACCTTGTTTTAAAATGTTACATTTCCTTCTCTCTGTGCTTACTTCCAGATTCAGAACTACAGATTGCACTAATTGCCCTCTTCTCTGAGATGCTGTATCGCTTCCCTAACTTGGTGGTGGCTCAGGTCACCCGAGAGAGCACACAGCAGGCCATTGCCAATGGCATCACGGCCGATCAGGTGAGGATAGGTTTAAAGGGGACGTCGGAGTTGTGCTCTGCTTTTCTCGGCTGGTTGGGTGGGGGGCTGAAACTTCAATGACGGAGTCCCAAATAAAACATGAGTATGTTCATGATCCTCTTTTGCTACAGATCATTCATTTCCTACGGACAAGAGCTCATGCTGTGATGCTAAAACAGGTGAGGAAATGACCACAGGAGATGAAGGACCCAATGTGACGTTGAAGAAAAATGTTGCTCTTTGTAATAGTTTACATAATAATAATAATAATAATAATAATAATAATACCATCAAACATCTGCCTATCCCAGGTCCTGGGTAAGGACTCGATAGGTAGACAAAATGCCAAATCCAGTCTGAACATCTGGCTGACTGTGCGATGATCGACAATAATAATAATAATAAGTCATAGAAAATGATAAAATTAAACTGCTCTGGGACTTCAGAATTCAAACAGACAAGCACCTGCAACATAACACCCCAGATTTAACAATTGTCGATAAGAAAGACAAAAAAGTCTAGTGGACGTGGCAGTGCCTGGAGATAGCAGAGTAGAAGAGAAAGAACTGGAGAAGATAACAAAATACAAATACCTACAAATAGAAATAGAAAGACTGTGGCAAAAGTAAGCAAGGGTAGTACCAATAGTAATAGGCTCCTTGGGTGTAATCCCAAAACAACTGGAGCACCACTTGAACACCATTGGCATTGACAAATTTGCTATTAGTCAATTGCAAAAGGCGGCCTTATTAAGAACTGCTTCCATCCTGCGACGATATCTGTAATACCATCAAACATCCACATCTGCCTATCCCAGGTCCTGGGTAAGGACTCGATAGGTAGACAAAATGCCAAATCCAGTCTGAACATCTGGCTGACTGTGCGATGATTGATAATAATAATAATAATAGTTGGAAGGGACCTTGGAGGTCATCTAGTCCAACCCCCTGCTCAGACAGGAAACCCTATCATTTCAGACAAATGGCTGTCCAGTCTCTTCTTAAAAAGTTCCAGTGTTGGAGCATTCACAGCTTCTGGAGGCAGGTTGTTCCACTGGTTAATTGTTCTAACTGTCAGGGAGTTTCTCCTTAGTTCTCGGTTGCTTCTCTCCTTGATTAGTTTCCATCCGTTGCTTCTTGTCCTGCCTTCGGGTGCTTTGGAGAATAGCTTGACTCCCTCTTCTTTGTGGCAGCCCCTGAGATGTTGGAACATTGCTACCATGTCCTCTCCCCCCCCCCCCGGTCTTTCTCTTCATTAAACTAGACATACCCAATTCCAGCAACCGTTCCTTATATGTTTTAACCTCCAGTCCACTGATCATCTTTGTTGCTCTTCTCTGCACTCTTTCTAAGTTTCTACTTTAATAAAGCTGGTGCAATATTTATGCTAACGCAGCACTCAAGCACCCCAAACGGCATCCCTGGAACCACAAAATTAAGTTTCTAAAAATATATTGGTCTTGTGTCGGTTAAAAAGTTGAAAGTTACTGGCACCTGAAAATGAAATTATGCATAAAGGAAGGTTGCTAGGCCTCCTGTTGTTTAACCCTGATCCAAAATGTGAAATAATGGATCCAAAGGTTGGGGAAAGCAGGGCTTGGTCAATTCTAGAGAAAAATGCAGTGGGGAGATTGTTTTTTTCTGCTCTTTAGCAAATAGGTATTTTTCTGTCTGTAACCTTTCCACTCTCCTCCCCACAGACCCCTGTGCTGCCCCCCACAATCACAGATCAGATCCGGCTGTGGGAGCTGGAACGGGACAGACTGCGCTTTTCTGAGGGTGAGCATCTTCGAGAGATGGGACAGGGTGTCAGGAGAGGAAGCGATAACCATGAGAAGAATCTAATACAGAGGTCCCCAACCTTTTGGGCACCAAAGACCAGTTCTGTGGAGAGAGGTTTTTCTGCAGACCAGAGGGGGTGTAGTTTTGTGTGCTGCCTGCATCTGGCAGATGAGGCTTTGCTTGTTTTTGCAGACCGGTTGCTGGCATGCCACGGACCGGAACTGGTCCACGGACCGGGGGTTGGGGACCCCTGATCTAATAGGATGTCAAACTAGGTCAGTTATAGTTTGGCCTGTTCCCCAGCCTGGTCTCCTCTCCAAATGTGCTGAACTCCAGTGTTGCCATTAGTTGGACTGTCTTAACTTTATTCCGATACAGATGTAGTCTTAACTTTATTCCGATACAGATGTAGTCCTCGACTTACGACCACAACTGAGACCAGAATTTCCATTGCTAAGCAAGGTGGTTATTAAGTGAGCTGCACTCGATTTTATGACCTGATTTGCTCCAGTGTTTAAGGCAAATCACCACAGTTGTTAAGTGAATCATATGGTCATTAAGCAAATGCAGTTGTTTCCATTGTTGGAAGCCTGCTGGGAAGCTTGCAAATGGAGATCATGTAAACCTGAAATGCTGCAACTTCATAAATACATGCTGGTTGCCAGGCGCCTGAATTTTGATCATGTGACCACGGGGATGCCAGGATGGCAATACCATATATGCCGGCGTACAAGGCGACCTGGCGTATAAGACGACCCCCGTCTTTATCGCCGAGCTGCATTCCTAGAACGTCGTCTTATACGCCGGAAACTACCAGTATTTCTGGCGTATAAGACGACTCGGCGTATAAGACGACCCCCGTCTTTGGCACCGATTTCAGCACTCGCGGAAGTCGCCTTATACGCCGGCATTTACGATAAGTGTAAGGAACAGTCCTTTTTTAGTGATGCTGTAACTTCAAATGCTTACTAAACGAATGGTTATAAATGGAGGACTACCTATATATCAGAGAGGCACCAGGTTTGGCCACTGACTGCAGTTCTTGCTCACCTTCATCTCTACTTTCTTTAGCCTTAGACTAGCAACCTTGGCTCTTTTATGACTCGTGGACTTCCAACTCCCAGAATTCCTGAGCCAGCCATGCTGGCTTAGGAATTCTGGGAGTTGAGGTCCACGAGTCATAAAAGAGCCAAGGTTGCCTACCCCTGGACTAGTTTTTCTCAACCTTAGTAACTTTAAGATGTATGGACTTCAACTCCCAGAATTCCACAGCCTGACTGTGGAATTCTGGGAATTGAAATCCACACATCTTAAATTTGCCAAAATCAAAATATACTGCCTTAGCCTCGTAGACTTCCTGGTCTGAGTTTGGATTTCATTCTTTGTATATTTCTTCCATCTTTATTCCTCTTTTACCACATATTGCTGCCCCTGTCTCTTTTCCACGCTACTTTCCCAGCAACCTCTCCTTGAATGGCTTCCTGATCATCTTTTTTTCCCAATTCTTTCTCATAGGTGTCCTATACAACCAGTTCTTATCCCAGGTGGACTTTGAGCTGCTCCGTAACCATGCCAAGGAACTTGGGGTCCTCGTTTTTGAGAACCCAGCCAAGCGTCTCATGGTGGTGACTCCCGCCGGCCATTCAGATGTCAAACGCTTCTGGAAGCGTCAGAAACACAGTTCCTGAAGACATGGCTTGCACTCCACGTTCTTCTGAATAAGTTTGTTGGGAAGTGGACCAAACAAAAAGGCAGGAATATCTCTCCTCCCATTACTTTGAAATGGATACAAGATACAGAGAGAAGGAAAACAGAGATGCCTGCCTTATTATCCCTTTCCAGCCAAAAAGAGATTTGAAACTTAACAAAAAGGAACAGCAAGAAAAAAAGGTCATTGGTTCAGTTTAAGTGTCACCTTTCATCAACTCTCTCTGGCAGGAGTGACACCCTAACTGGGATAACACTGGCACGAAATAGGGTAGAAGTCCAATAAAATGCTTTGGGAAAATAGAAATAGCAGGGGCAAAGCCATCTCACTAAACTAAAAGGAACCACTTGAGGCCAATGAGTTGTTGATGCAAAGTTATTAAAAATGAAGGGATGCATAATTCGTTCCCTGCATGGTTGGATACTGAATCTTCAAGGTGCAAGGGAGTACTAGTTTCAGACTATCTACAATGTGGCATCATCCAACTATTTAAACCCTTGCTACTATCCTCCTGAGACCTATCTGGGGAATGATGGAAATTGGAGCCCATTACATCTAGAGTGCACCTCGTTGGAGAAGGATATATAAAAAAAAGCGTTAAGCAGTTATCATTTTTATTCTTTAAATGGCTTGACCCTCTCAGCTCAACGGGTGCAAAAAGAAGAGACAGTATTTCATTTTAGTTTTATAGAAACTGCTAATGTATAGCTTAAGTTCAGGCTGGCTTGTTCTAATAAGACGTGTGGTTTTTATAGGTGTAATTCAAGGTGTTTTTCTATCCATGTGTGAATGAAGACAGCTCTCTATGCAGAAGCTGGGTTTATACATTGCATTAACCCATATTGTGATTAGTTTGGCCCTAACATGATGAGTTCAGCACACCAAATCACCCTATTTTGATCTGGCAATGTGCCCAATCTGATATCAAGGGAATATCATATTCCCTCATGGGGTTGCCATTTGTTTTTTAAAACCAGTGTCAAATATTCAGATGTTTCAACGGGACTCAACCCTGTAACTCCAGCACAAAGATGCTGTGATTTCACTTGTTCCTGTTCTGCCTGGAAGGGAGACCACTGTTGAAGTTAAGCAGATATTCTATTCACCAATCTGTCCTGTGTTGATGAACGTACTGAATCCTGTACGCACAGTTGAAGCCTCTGTTCAGATGGACAGATCAGTCAGCAGGTTCCTCATTCCACCTCTTTTATCTGAAATTCAGATATTGCATTAAAACTAGCTGAGAAGTTGTGGTGGAAATAGCATCAGGTTTTTATTCTTCATCCTAAATTTGGCATCTCCAAACATTGCAGAGGATGTGCTGTATTTTATACTTGGGAAGCTGTGCTAAGAGGCTTATGGGTGGTTGTAAAGAGGAAGTGGGAATCTTTTGTGTAAATCAAACAGATAAATACGATTTTTTTTAAAAAAAAGAATAAACTATCTTGGATGTATTCCTGTACTCAGAAGTTTTGTTATTGCAAAGTAAAGAATAAGGCTAGCAAATGGGGACCCAGATTGTTGGGACAATAGGCTGACTCTGTAAACCACTTAGAGAGGGCTGTAAATCTCTATGAAGCGGTATATAAGTCTAAGTGTTACTGCTATTGCTAAATGTAGTAATTGCTAAAGATGAAGCTAATAAAATTATTAGTTATTTCTGGCTGTCATAGACATAGGCTTTCTATCACTGAAAGGGAATTCCTTCCCCAATCAGAAGTTTGTCAAATTGCTTTAGTGCAGTGGTGGCGAACCTACGGCACGAGTGCCAGAGGCGGCACTCGGAGCCCTCTCTGTGGGCACGCACACTGTCGCCCCAGACCCGCCTCCCCTCGCAGCCCATTCCTCACCAGCAACCCCCCCCCAGAGGAAAGTCACCCCTGGGTGCGGCCCACGCAGCCAAGCACATGGCAGCTGGGCAGCACATGATACTGCGGGGCACGGGCGGAGGGTGTAGCTACCATGGTGCTGCAGGGCTGCCAGGGTGATCTGAGGCAGGCCGTGGATGGCCCTGAGGGCGGGCAGGGTGAGGGCAGGGGCTGGGCAGTTTTGGGGCACTTGGTCTCTAAAAGGTTTGCCATTACTGCTTTAGTGAGTTTCTCCTATTGTGATGCACACTTAAAATAACTTTATACAAACTCAGAAGTTCCCAACTAGGCCAGTCTTTCTCACAGGGTAGCGGTTGTGAGGTAAATAGGAGGAGAAAGAAGTACAGGTAGTCCTCGACTTACAGCCACAATTGATTCCAAAATTTCCATTGCTAAGCAGGACAAGTTGTTAAGTGAGCTTTGCCCCATTTTGCAACTTTTCTTGCCACAGTTGTTAAGTGAATCACTGCGGTTGTTAAGTTAGTAACCCGGTTGTTAAGTGAATTTGGCTTCCCCATTGAGTTTGCTTGTCAGAAGGTTGCAAAAGGTGATCACATGACCCCCTCCCTCAGGACACTACAGACCATCATAAATACATGCCAGTTGCTAAGCATCCCAAGTAATAGTAATAGTAGTAAAGTTGGAAGGGACCTTGGAGATCATCTAGTCCAACCCCCTGCTCAGGCAGGAAACCCTACACCATTTCGGACAAATGGCTGTCTAGTCTCTTCTTAAAAACTTCCAGTGTTGGAGCATTCACTGCTTCTGGAGGCAGGCTGTTCCACTGATTAATTGTTCTCACTGTCACGAAGTTTCTCCTTAGTTCGAGGTTGCTTCTCTCCTTGATTAGTTTCCACCCGTTGCTTCTTGTCCGGCCTTCAGGTGCTTTGGAAAATAGCTTAATTCCCTCTTCTTTATGGCAGCCCCTGAGATATTGGAATACTGCTATCATGTCCCCCCTTGTCCTTCTCTTCGTTAAACTAGACATACCCAATTCTGGCAACCGTTCCTTATATGTTTTAGCCTCTAGTCCCCTAATCATCTTTGTTGCTCTTCTAGAGTCTCAACATCTTTTTTACATCGTGGTGACCAAAACTGGATGCAGTATTCCAAGTGTGGCCTTAGCAAGGCATTGAAGAGTGGTATTAATACTTCACGTGATCTTGATTCTATCCCTCTGTTAATGCAGCCTAGCACTGTGTTGGCCTTTTTGGCAGCTGCAGCACACTGCTGGCTCATATTTAAGTGATTGTCTACTATGACTCCGAGGTCCCTCTCACAGTTACTACTATTGAGCATGGTGCCACCTATACTGTACTTGTGCATTTGGTTTTTCTTGCCTAAATGTAGAACCTTGCTTTTTTCACCATTGAATTTCATTTTGTTAGTTAGTGCCCAGTGTTCAAGTCTGTCCAGATTCTTCTGTATCTTAATCCTGTCTTCTGGAGTGTTGGCTATTCCTGCCAGCTTGGTGTCGTCTGCAAATTTGATGAGTTCCCCATCTATCCCTTCATCCCAATTTTGATCACGTGACCACAGGGATGCTTCAACAGGTGTAATCGTGAAAAATGGTCCTAAGTCGTTTTTTTTTTTGCAGTGCCCTTGTGATTTTCAACGGTCACTTAAAAAATGATTGTAAGTTGAAGACTACCTGTATTGGATATGAGTTGTTTATAAAAATAAAGGCTGGATATAAATCAAATATTACTCCATGGAATGGGCAGATCAAAGAGGAAAGGACCTCCCCACCTCTTTCGGCATCCAATGATGCCAGCATACTTTCCCACCTGTAATCTCGCCGTAGTCTTAATCGCAGTATTAAAAGAGGCGTTAAGGAAGAATCAGAAACCACCACTCTTGCATCCAGTTGCATATTAGCCCAGTTTTTGAGTCGTTTTTTTGGATCCCAGACTTGGTGGCTTCTGTCCCTTTGGCTAGTGCCTGGCAGCCTAGTAGTGGACACTGTGTGTGTGTGTGAGAGAGAGAGAGAGAGAGAGGGAGGGAGGGAGGGAGGGAGAGAGGGAGGGAGAGGGAGAGAGAGAGAGAGAGAGAGAGAGAGAGAGATCAGTAAAAGTTTGCTGTTATTTTAAATGCACTGAGTCTCTGTATTTTAAAGAACCATTTGTGCCTCAGTGTTTAGTTGATTTGGGATTAATGTGGCAGTTTTCCAGGCCAGTGAGTGTGTGAGTGAGTGATTATAAGCGGAACCTGAGAGCCCACTTGTGTAACAGGAGCAAGACCAGAAATCAGGTGAGTGTGGTCTATTGTGGAAAAGTCACATCATTACAGCATAAAAGCCCCCAGTCAACTTTAATTTAATCAGTGGTGGCTCATGAACTTAGGCCAGGCTAGGTATTTACTTCTGTGCAAAATACTTTGCAGCTCATTATTGTCTATGTTGCATTGCACATAATATAGCTACCTGTGTAGCAGCATAATAAAATATGTAACTTCAAAGGTGTGTTTCTTTGTTAGTAAACCCCACGTACTGTTCTAATGTTTCCCTACATTTGAATTATTGACACTAGGCCTATTGCCTTGCTCTGTGTAAGGTGGTCCTCAGTTAATGATGGAAATTAGGATCAGAATTTCTGTTGCTAAGCAATGTAGTCATAAAGCATGATGTCACACAACTGCCCTACTTAGTGACAGCAGTTTTGACACTTCCCAGTTGCCATTATTAAATGAATACTGAGCCATCATTAAGTGAGGATGTCAGGTGGTTACCTCCCAATTGCTTCCATGTCCTAGTTGTCCCAGAGGTGCTTTTTCCAAAAGGCAACTGGACTTTCTTGGGTTTTTTTCTTTGAAAATGTTTCTTTTCTCCTCCAAGAAACTTCTTCAGTTCTAACTGGTGAGGAATGGAAGGATTTATATTCTATGCAGTGATCTGGTTGTTTGTACTCTTGAGGGTCATTGAGGCCATTTGGGGGTTTATCTATATCCTCAGAGTCACCTGAATTAGAGTGCAAATGGGTGTGGAACCTTCTTGGGATTGCTGAAAGGACTGTATTGTAAAGAAGGAGATATCCCTCCCCCTCTGTTGCAAACCTGCACAAGAATCATTTCACAAGTTCATGGCACAACGCAGGACAACAAACTCATCAGGACAGGATTCAGCAACCCCTGGACTTCCGATGGTTCCGGCGACGACGAATGGCGGCGTTTTACAAAGCCGCCCATTCCTGGTGCGTGTAAAAGCCGCGGGACTTTGACAATCAGCTGTCCCGCGGCTTGAATCTCCTCCCTGGGAAAAAGGGAGGAGGAGAGCTCTCAGGTAGAGGTAAGAGCTCCCCTGGATTCCTGTTAATTTGGGGATCGGAGGGTAGAGCTCCCTCGGAGCCTGAGCAACTCCGCGTTCCAGGGAGACTTCATTCCGAAGTTTTTGGGATGAAGCAAGTTGCCGCTTCCACATCTTCTTTTTTTTCCAGCTGCTTGTGAGTATTTGAAAGCAGACGGAGCAGACCAGGAGAGACTGTGCTTAAGTTTGATGGTGCCTTTAACTTCAGCAAGTTTCCTCTTCCTTTTCTTTTGTTCACTTTCCCTTTAGAAGAAAGTGAAAGTGAAAACTAAAATGGCGATCGTCTTTCTTGCCTGATTTGCATTACAGAGTAAAACCTGGATACAGATTAACTCTTTAAATACAGAAGTAAGAATTTGGCTTTTATTCTTTCCTCTTTTTTCTCTATTTTTTTTTCTCTTTTTTTTAAGAACACTTAAAAGAACTGTGCCCCTTTTTTTTTTCCAATAAGAATCTTTCTTCTTGGAACTTAAGAAAATGGCTTCAAAACGTCTGCCTCCCGCCCCTAAGGTTCCTATTTCTTCTCCAATGCCTCAGCCTGCATCTCAGAAACCAAAATCACCTCCACCTTCTCCTCCTCCTCCTGCAATTTCTCTTAATGATTTACAGGATGCTTTAAAACAGCATGCCTTGGATATTAAGGAGGAGGTAAAAGATCTTATAAATTGCAGAGAGGGCTAATACAGAAGAATTATTGGAGAAAAAGAACAAACAAGTAAGAGACCATATCCTTCTAGCCTTTCAGGGCCTAGCCCTGCACATAGAAAGGATTGATGACCAGATGGAAAAGATTACTGAAAATGCATCAAGGATGGAATTTAGAATGCAGGAGGTAGAGAACAAGATAGAAATTACACAGGATGAAAAAATCATTTCACAATATAGGGAGATGGAACACGCATTGCGTATCAGAGGCCTGAGGGAGAACCCTCAGGAAGACTTAAAGATGCTTATTGTGAAAGATATTGCTCCTAATATTGGTTGGCGGCCTGAAATAATTGAGAATGAGATAGAAAAATTTTTTAGAGTTAATTCACAGGTTGCTAGACAGAGAAATTTACCAAGAGATGTGGTTATTTATTTTTCTAGAAGATCTATCCGTAATGAAATTATACAGGCTTTTTACAAACAAAAGTTTCAAATTGCTGATCAAGACGTGATAATTTTAAAAGAGATACCTCCAAAAATTTTAAGAGCCAGAAAAGATTTTACTTTCTTGTCTGATGAGTTGAAACCTCGTCAAATTCAGTTCAGATGGGAGATTCCAAGAGGAATAATAGTAAAT